GCTTGGTCTCAAGGGACCCTGGGATGCTCAGATCTTGGTGTTTATCCTCAGAGTTTACTTACTGCTGAGAATAAAGATTAGATAGAATAAGCCAGAAAGTGTCCAAGTACCTTAAAGGAAAAAGCGTTTCCTAGATTGTGGAGTGCAGAATCAATTACATCAGAATTCCTGGAGATGGGGATAGGGTGCTTGTTTATATTTCACATTCCCAGGACCGTCCCAGATTGAAGTGCCCAGAATGATTGGGGCCAAGGCCTGGGCATTTTTAGCAAGCTGTCCAGGTGATTCCCAAGCATGAGGAAGTAGTGCTGCAGAAACTGGTCCAGAATCAAGCAGCATCAGCATTTTGGGGCCAGTTCCCAAACCCACCCTGCAGAGACTGTGGGGCCAGGACCTGACAATCTGGGTGAAAACAAGTCCAGCAGGTGATTGTCTTGCAGCCTGAAGCACGAGGAGCCCTAGTTTAGCCAGAGAGGGCCACAGCTGGATGAGATTTGGTGCACAGCTGCAGGTAGATGGTCCCAGTGAGGAAGGAAGGGAAGGCTGGTATTTGTGCTGCATCTTGAAAGGCAGTACTTGAGGCTGAAAGTTCCCCAGAGACTGGTTTCTAGGAACTGGATTAGTCCCAGAAGAGGCCAGCTGCCTGCGGCACCTGGAGGCCCTCTCCAGTGAGTCCCAAGACAGAGTGCCCTGATGAGAGCCAGCACAGAACAGGGAAGTGCCTGGCCTGTCAGAATCCCAGCCTGTCCACTATGTGAAGCACCCCACGCAGGCACCTTTTTTCTTTGTTAAAGGGCAGACGTAGGAGGAAGGCATTGGTCAGCATAGAAGGTGTGATATTTGTAGATGCCAAAGAGAAAGCAGATCTGCAGGTCATTTACTGTGTTACCTTTTGTTGTGCAGAATGAGGGTTGGACAGAGCAGAGGGGAAGGTGAGGGCTCCACCCCTGCCCCGACCATGCCCTGCCCAAACTCCCCTCTGATCCAGATTTGGTACCCTGGGTGCAGACTAACTTTGCCAAGGGCAGCGGACCCTGCTGGTGGCCTCTTGAGAAAAAGTGGAGGCCAGAGTATGTAAAGACTGGGCCATAAGCAAATTTCTTAATTTTCACAGAAAAAGGGGGCTTCCCTGGTGGCTCAGTAGTAAAGAATCCACCTGCCAGTCAAGAGACATGGGTTGAATCCCTAATCCGGGAGGATCCCACATGCCATGGAGCAGCAAAGCCTGTGTGCCACAGCTATTGAGCCTGTGCTCTCGGGCCTGGAAGCTGCCAACTGCCAAGCCCACGGGTGCAGCTATTGAAGCCCGTGTGCCCTGGAGCCCGTGCTCCACCACAAGGGAAGCCAGTGCAACTAGAAGCCCACACACTGTAGCTAGAGAGCAGCTTCCACTTGCCACGACTGGAGAAAAGCCTGCGTAGCAACCAAGACCCAGCACAACCAAAAATAAATGAGTAAAATTATTTTAAAAAGGTGAGGCGAAGACTGTAGATGTTGGGAGTCTAAGAGTTGCCTGCTGATCCTGGGCTCTCCTAGGACATGTGGTCGTTGGGAGGGGCCGAGCCACGGCACTGGGATTGAGGGTAGGGCCCCTGAAGGTCGACCCAGCTTCCCTGGCTGCCTTTGCTTTTCTCCTGGAGAGTCCTAGACAGGTAAGCTAGAGCGCTCTAGGCGGGCGAGGGGTTGGGGAGATGTGTTAGAATCCTCATCTGACGGAGGCCCTCTTCCTACTGTTGTGAACTAGATGAGGAAATGGGTGTCGATCGGGCTGTGGTAGAGTTCGGTGGTCCAATAACTGATTGAGTGGTCCTGGGTGGGGAGAGGTTGGTAGCGACAGTGCAGGAGCGCCCTTTCAGTGTCACTCACTGGGAAGAACGCAAATGCCACATTTTCCCAACCAGTGAATATAAAAGAAAGCTGAGAGAGAGCTCTAAGATGCTTGATACTGGTCCAGATTGCAGGAGATCTTGTAGTCTGGAGCAACAGGTAGAATGGAGGGGGGAAATTTAACAGGCATCAGCATCCTGTCTCCATTGTCCAGAACATGCAGGTATTACCAGTCCAGGGACGCTGGGGGAGCTACTGCTGTGGGCTCTCCACACCCTACCTGGAGCCTTTGCTTCCCAAGGGAGCTCTGCGAGCAAGAAGGGAGTGGGTCACAAACGTGAAACCACTTCAGGCAGGAAATGGTGAGAAGAAAATGAGACTGTTCTTTCAGAAGAGGGGAAGACTGAAGGTGGGCTTTTGGGGAGAGGAGAAGCCAGGGGGGCGCGGGAGGAAGGACTGTTCTTTGGGTGTAGGATTAGACCGGGCCTGTGGACACTGCAGGGCAGACTCATCATCAGGGAGCTCTGGGAATGAGCACCATCACTGTGTGAGTGGTTGAGGCTGGCCTGTGGCTCTGCCCCAGGCGGGAACCCTAGCAGTCCCTCCAGGTCCAAGTGCCATGGTGTATTTATGTAATAATCCTAACCCCAGGCTCAGAGCTGGGCTGCCTTGCGCTGAATGGACCCTGTGTGAGTTATTCGAATCTTGGAAGAACAGCCACGACCTCAAGTGAGCTCAGAAATCCCCAACTGAATTGGGTCTTTTTTAAAGTTGTTTTTTTAATAGGCCCAAATGCATGTGGCAAGAAATGCAAATATAAACAGTGAATTTCATTTCTATTCCAGTTTTCCCCTCCAGAGGCAATCAGTGTTACCCAGTTTCTTGTTTAACATTCCAGGGATTGTAGGGTGTGTGTGTTTGTGTGTTCAGTGCTAAATTTGTACATTTTCTTTTTTTAAAGTTAGCATACACACAGCACTACACCTTGATTAATAATGGTGATCATTTCAAATCGCCACTCATAGAGCTGGCTAATTCTGAAGTATATAATATAATATATAGACATATGAATACAATATACAGAGTATCCCTTGTATGGATCCGTTGTGATTTATTTAACCAGCCTCTTGCAGGTGGGTATTTAGGGATTCCTTGTTGTTGTTGTTGTAGTAAATGTCACAGTTAAGTGCATCTGGGAAATAGATTTCCAGAAGTAGAGCTTCTGAGTCAAAGACTGTGTCATGTTTAATTTCAACATCTATGTGTTTTTACTTGGTGAGCCTTACCATGTTAGTGAGGGTGAACATCTAATGTTCCTTTTCTGTTATAGTTTGCATCATTTGAGTTTCTCTAAAGGTTATTGGTCTTTTTCTTACCATAAAACGTTTTCCCTAAATTTGTCCTTTCTCTTGTCTTTATGTTATTTTCCTTATTTCTGTCTTACACAGAAACTTAATTTTATCTTTGGGGGTAAGGACTGCTTCTGAAGTCTGAAGCTCAGTGTCTGGCTGACATTTTACGTTGATGTAGGGGACAGGGCAGTATCCCGCTCCTCCGTTTTGTTTTCCCATCCCACTGTGGATGAGGCTTCCAGGCTCATTCCTCTGGGAGGTGGTCTCCAGGGAGAACGGTGTCAGGAACAGGACTGCAGCTCCTCTGTTTTTCCGATGGGCAGTTCCTCTTTATTCCATGAGGAGGTTCCTGGCCCATCCATCATTCAGATCCCCAGGATGCTGCCTCACCAGTGAGGCCTCAGGGTTCTGGCAGAGGGGTCAGACTGAAAGCACCACTGGGGACCTTAGTTGCCACATCGCAGAGTGCTTGGGAAAAGGACTTTGGCCCACACCACATGTTGCCAATTCTAGCTCTCTGCAAGGTCACTAGGCCACCATCTGGCCTCCCATTGCAGTCACCCATGGACCCACTGACCCAAATAAATTACCATGCCCAGAGGGCTGAGAACCAGACTTGTGGGGACCAGTGGCACCTTAAGGAAGCCCTTCATCTTCCTTAAAAACAGCGTGTGCAGTTCTCCAGTGCAGCTGTGAAGGGCGGCCCAGAATCTTGTAGGTGGATAATGGTGTCTAGAGAGGTGTTTCTCAGAGTTCCTGGACCAGTAACATCACCTGGGAACTAGTTAGAAATACGAATTCTGGCTCTGCTGACTCAAACCCTGCGGGTGGAGCCCAGCAGTGTGTTTAACTAGCCCTCCAGGTGGGTTCTGATGCACACTGCAGTTTGGAGAACTCGCTTGGGGCCTGGCGTGCAAGGAGGAGCAGCTCACCTGGGCTCAGCAGGTGTGATTATTAGGGGAGCCTACAGGTCTCCTCACTCTCACTGGTCCTTGGGTGCCTCTCAAATTGCAACAGCCACTGATTGGCAGGAGTAAGCAGGCTGCTGGTGGTCTGAGAGTGTGATATCACAACAGATCGTGTCCCTCTGGGCAGCTCCACTAGCATGAGACACGGCAGAGGGATCTGTCCAGAGAGGGGTTTGTGAGGACAGGTTTCCCACCATCACCAAGAATTCTAGGTTCCGGACCTGTCTCCTTCCCTTACTACTGACCGGCAAGTCTCGCCCTGTCTGAGCTCCATCTGTAGGGACAGGATGGTACTGCCTCACTTGATCAGATGAGCCCTCCTGAGGGCTCTCCTTATTTCTGGGAATGGTTCCCATACCCAAAGATTCCCTTGCCGGGTGAACCAGAGGCTGGAGAACACAAAGTGTAGTTTGGGGCAGATGCAACTTGGAGGCCACTGTGGATCGCTCAGGGTCTGTAGGTTGGGCACAGGGAGGCGGGAGCGTGGGCTTTCCCTGATGCTGGCTGAATGGTAATAAAGAAGATTCAGGCAAATAGACCTGGACCCCTGAGAGAGAGACGGGAGAGCAGCTTCACACGTGCGGCATCCCTTGTCCGCACAGGCGGGAGTAGAGCTTGGGTGGAAGGGGTTTTGAAGGAAACTCACCAGCTCGTGGGTGATGAATCCTGTAATGCCCCGATTGCAGTTTCTGGCAGGGGCCTGGTGGGTAAAGGGTGAGCTGGGTTGCCCCACCTCGGGTCAGGCCTCATGCAGCTCCTCCTACCGGGGCTGGCTTGTGGGTGTCGCTGTTCTCCCGTAAAGCTAATGGGAGTCCCTGGCCGAGCCTGAGCACACTTTCCTCTTTCCTTTCAGATCTAGCCATGAGCTACCCAGGCTACCCCCCGCCCGCAGGTGGCTACCCACCAGCTGCACCAGGTAAGAAGGTCTGGGGCCTGTGGGGGAGGGATTGCCCTCTCTTCACAGCATCCAGGCATGCAGAGGGGAGGAATGATGGTGCTTTCCAGTCATTTCCTTGCTCCCTTCATACCCACCCACTGCAGCCAGGTGGGAAGGGGCTGGAGAAGAGCTTGGAACCTGGGGCCAGGCGAGGCCAGGGTTTGAAGCTACTTCTGAAAAGCCAGGATGAGGCCAGGCCCCAGTTTCTTGCCTTATTAGCTGATGAGTGTGAAGTGTGAAGTCACTCAGTCGTGTCTGACTCTCTGTGACCCCAGGGACTGTAGCCCACCAGGCTCCTCTGTCCATGGGAGTTTTTAGGCAAGAGTGCTGGAGTGGGTTGCCATTTCCTTCTCCAGTATTAGGAACAGACAAACATGTTCCATTCTCTGAGACGCAGTTTTCTCCTTTGCAAATGAATTCCAGTGTCTCCATCACTGGGCTGGCCCAGACAGGACCGCGATAGCCGGGTGAAGGCTCTGGCGGTGTCCTCTGAGGCCCCGTCACTCCTCCGGCCCTGTGTGCACGGCGCGTGGTTCCCAGCAGCGGGGCCCCTGCACGGGCAGGAAGCAGAGGCGGTCCTGGGGCTCAGCTGTTACTGCTGCAGCTGCTGCTGTGGGCCAGTAGCAGGGAGGCTGCGCCGGCCCGTCAGCTGTCTGTGTCCCACCACTTCCACCTCTGTCAGCACCTGAGCAGCAGGAGAGGGAACTGCCGAGTGATTCCAGGGAGGCTCTGTCCTGAGTGTCCCGGAGCTGGAGAGCCACACTGGAGGCCCCCAGGGCCTTTTCGCGGCCGTGGACAGGGCTGCTTCTGACAGGCCAGCCGTGATGCTAGCTGCTGGGCTACTTGTGGGGGCTACGGTGAGGGCTATCACACATGGATGCTCACCGGGCTCCCGGCTAAGCCCTGCCTGGCAGTAACTCTCTCAATCCTCCTCGTAGCAGTTTGAGGCCATCACTGATTATGCCCACTTCGCACGAGGAGACTGAGCCAGGCTGGTTGAGTGCTTGCCCAGGGCACATACCCCAGTCCTGCTGCTTTCAGAGCTGGGACTTTGTACTGCTGTTCCCCGATTGTCCTCCTGACTAGGACAGGTGTCTGTTTTCCACAGCCAAGCTCTGTCTCCCTCTGTCCTGTCATCCTGCTTCTCCCTGCCTCTTACACACATGTGGGGACGCATACCACCCAATGAGCAGGACCCCCCGCCCCACCCGCCGTGCTTTCCCGTCACTGTGGACTCTGAGCGCTCCCTGAGCCCCCACTCTGCTGGGCTCAGCACAGCCTCCCCGAGTGACCTGTCTGTACTCCTGGTCCGTGCTGGTGAGGCCAGCAGAGCAGGTCTGCCCGTGGCCCTCCCACCATAATACCCTGCAGAGAGTCTTCGGAGTGTTTGCTGAGTGGTGCCTTCTTCCCTGAAAGGTGGGGAAGGTTCCTCCTTCTCTTCTCTGGCAGTGGGATCAGGCTAGACTTTGTTGCCTGAGCATTTTCATTGTGGCCTATAGGACTGCCCAAGGCTCCTTTTGGCCTCCTCTCTGACCCACCTGGGAACTTGACGCCTCTGCCTCATCCTCTTGGTGGCTGATCGGGGGACTGATGGATCGGTGTTGCTTTCAGGTGGCGGTGCCTGGGGAGGTGCTGGCTACCCGCCACCCACCATGCCTCCCATCGGGCTGGATAATGTGGCCAACTACGCAGGGCAGTTCAACCAGGACTACCTCTCAGGAGTGGTGAGTCCAGCCCTCCCACTGGGCTGCCCTGGGGGCCACTCTTCTGGGGCCAGAGGGAGGAAAGCTGCTGGCTTCCATGGTGTCAGGGGTGTGTGTTTACCTGTGGGCACCCAGGGTGTCGAACTATATCTTAGGACAGAAGGGTTTCCATCAAGGCTCTCGCCAGCTCACAGTCCCTCTGTGCATCTCGTTTTTCTCGACTGGAAAGTGAGGGGTGGGGCAATTTGTTGGGCTGCGTGGTCTTCCAGGTTTCTTTCAGCACTGGGGGATTGGGTAGGGGTGAGGAATATGCATTGAGCACCTTCTGTATGCTCTTAGCATAGGGACGGGAGGAAGGTGAGGGTGTGTGTGTGTGTGTGTGTGATGCACATGTGACCACATTCAGGTGTGTGTTGTCCATGTTGGTACATGTGGATGACTGTCCTGGTTGGGCCTGGGGGCAGGTGCCTGGTAACACAGGCAGGCGTGCTACTTTTGATTTGCTTATAAAATGGTGTATTTTATAATCTAAAGATAAACGTATGCTCAGTGTGAACAGGGTAACCACTACATAGTCTAATTTGCACCAGGCCTATTGTAGGTGCTGGGGATAGAAAACCCCAGCCTAGGAGTACCTACCATCCACTGAGAGGAGACAGACAGTAGCATAAGGAAACAGTGGTGTGGTGTTAAAGCAAGTGTGGGTGCTTTGGTACACAGGCAGGTTAAGGGGTCAGTGGTGCAGGCAGAGGGCATGTGCGACAAGGTGGGTGGGCACTGTTGGCCTGCTGAGAAGCCAGTGGTGCTCAGAGTCAACTTGGGCTAAGTGTGGCTCCCGGGCACCCACTGCAGGGCTCAGGGTGTGGAAGGGCAGATAGATGGATGGAGTGTGGCCTTACCTCTCCAGGGCTGTTAGTCTAAGGCTCTGCTTTGTGGACTTGCAGGCAGCCAACATGTCCGGGACGTTTGGAGGAGCCAACGTGCCAAACCTGTACCCAGGGGCCCCTGGGGCTGGTTACCCTCCAGTTCCCCCGGGGAGTTTTGGGCAGCCCCCTCCCGCCCAGCAGCCTGTTCCTTCGTATGGAATGTACCCGCCCCCTGGAGGAAACCCACCCTCTGGGATGCCTTCATATCCGCCATACCCAGGGGCCCCTGTGCCAGGCCAGCCCATGTTGCCCCCTGGGCAGCAGCCCCCGGGGGCCTACCCTGGACAGCCGCCCATGACCTACCCTGGACAGTCACCAATGCCACCTCCTGGGCAGCAGCCGGTGCCAAGCTATCCAGGGTACTCAGGTTCTGGGACTGTCACCCCTGCCGTGTCCCCAGCCCAGGTAAGTGCCAACCCTGTGCTACTGTCTGTCTGGGCCTGGCCCTAAGGGCCTGAGACCCCTAGGGGCCTAGTGTCCCCTAGCAGGGACGGGGGAGGGCTTAGTCCTGTAGCTCTGACTTGTAGTGTTCAGAGTGTCACTTTCTCACTGACTTCCCACCCCTGTTTGCACACCTGAGGGCCGAGGGAGCCACCCTGTTTGTCCCAGCGTGGTTAGATGGTCCCCGTGTGAGGCGGGTCTGAATGCCTCCAGGTACTCTTCATCCTCTTGTGTTATTTACTGCCTGGGCTTTGTGAAAACTGTCTCAAAAGGCCTTTGCCCAGTGGCCCTTAGTCTTTAATCCCTGGATGTGCCCTCCCAGACTCAAAACCAGCCCCTTTGAGTGTGTAAAATTGTTGCCAGTTCTTTCAGGACTGCTCTTGGCTCATTTTGGAGAGCAGTTCGTGTTTGCAGAGCCTAGAATTCATTGTCATGGTTACACAGCCAAACCAGCCAAGCACAGGGCTAGTGGAATGTGGTTGACTACTATTTTTAGTCAGAGGGTCCATTCCCCTCCTTCCCCAACACCCACATGTCCCTCCTGCCCTGCCCTGCCCTGCCCTGCCTCGTCCCTATCTGCCTTCCCCTCATCTTTCTCTCAGCTTATCTCCTCTGTTAAAGCCAGTTCATCCTAGATCATCCATCAAGGGAGAGTTTAGGCAGGAAAAATCCAGTGTGCTTGGAGTGTAGCTGTCATTTGAGGAAGAAGCCCAGCAGGCAAGCAGGTCGTAGAGTCCAGAACACGGTGCCAGGAAACCAGAGTGAATCCAGGAGGTAGCTGGTCTGCATGTACCGTCGTGAAGGCTTGACACATGAAGGCATCCCAGAGGAGCACCTGTTTGTGATGTGCACAGAGTGACTGAGCAGGCCTGTTAGGGGAGCCCTGATGTGCAGTGCTGAGACCTTGAGGAGAGGCTGGGACCCTGTTCCTGAGGCCTCCCCCTCATCAGGAGCCCAGGCCTGGAGGACCCCGGCATAGGGTAGATTTCTAGCACCAGGACTCAGCTCTAGGTAGGCTCCGAGCCACGGGAGCCAGGCAGATGCTTCAGTGTCAGGATACGAGGACAGGTAATGTACCTTAGGCCAGCTTAGCGTGAGTCCCCTGTGCTGTCAGCTGCAGGCTCCTTCAGGTCCCCCAGCTTTTAGAAGAAAGGTCATCTCCAGAGTCTGGGCCAGGCAGTCTCACATCTAGGAAATGTAGCGTCTTACTGTCTGTCTGTCTGTCTGTCTGAGTAGTTTGGAAACCGAGGCACCATCACAGATGCATCTGGCTTTGACCCCCTGCGAGATGCTGAGGTCCTGCGGAAGGCCATGAAGGGCTTTGGTGAGAGACCCAGTGTGGCATGAGTCCCAACTGCCTCCTCCTGACTCCCTCGGCAGTTACACAGTGGCTCTGTGGGCTGGGGTCGCTGGGTGGAGGCAGCCTGGCCCGAGTGTTAGAGAAGGTGGATATGGGGATGTATTGCGGATGCTCAGGAGAATTGGAGGATCCAGGCCAAGAAAGTCTCTAGCCACAGAGCATCCCTGTGACCCCAGCCACGCCCACTCCCACCTCTCCTTCCACCAGGGACTGATGAGCAAGCCATCATTGACTGCCTGGGTAGTCGCTCCAACAAGCAACGGCAGCAGATCCTCCTGTCCTTCAAGACAGCATATGGGAAGGTGAGTATTGGTGGGGGTTCCTTCCTGAATCAGGGCATATCCTCCTGATAGGAGCAGCCTACTCCTGCTTTTCCTCGGGACCTGGATCTCCTAGATGAACTGTAAGGCATGTTAGGGCATTTCTTGGTGGCTGTCAACTGATGGCATCTTGTAGAGGCAAAGGATGCTCTGAAGCAGAAATCCCAGAGTCCACAGGGTACTAGTTTGCTGAGAGGTGCCCAGGGATCTGGGTTCCATCCTGGCTCTGCTGTGACTCACTGAGACTATGGGCAAGTTATTTCTCTTTGAAGGAAGAGGTTTTAAGTACTGAACACATGAAAGTTTGAATTTGGGGGCTTTTGGATCTTAATTAATAGAAAGATAACCACTGAGTACATATAGACTAGTACATGCAGGCTAGTGCTTTGGCCTAGTGTCTCTCCTACTTTAATGGGCTATGAGTTCCCTGGGAATCTGGTCCAAATGCAGGTTACAATTCTGCCGGTCAGGCTGGGGCCTGAGGTTTGTCTTTTATGTAAATGCTGCTGGATCTGGGATATTGTTTCCTATTGGTCACCTCCTGTGGATTCTCAAAATAGGTCTTGTTTGTCTGAATGTCCAATTAGGATTTGATCAAAGATCTGAAATCTGAACTGTCAGGAAACTTTGAGAAGACAATCTTGGCCTTGATGAAGACGCCTGTCCTCTTTGATGCTTATGAGATAAAGGAAGCTATCAAGGTGTGTATGTTCTCTGTATGTGTGTGGACATGATGAACATAAAGACCTAGACCACATGGTATGTCTTAGCTCGATTATTAGCTATTGTTGTCAGCATAGCTTCTGGGATCCAAGTACTATAGAAAAGGGAACTTTTGGTGGCTCCTCCAAGAGGCAAATGAGGCATCACTCATCATCAGGGAGCATCTTAACTCTCTCTGCCTTAAATGGTAGGAGCTGGGGCTCAGAGAAAATCAGTGATGCAGTGCTAGTAGGGGTGGGAGGAGTGGATGATATCATCCTCATTCATCAGGACTCTGTTGTTAGCAGGTAACAGAACACTCTTGAGGAGCTTAAGCAGAGCCAGGGTGGAGAATCAGGAGGATAGAGACAGCAGCCTGACTTGGAGAGGGACGGGACTGGGCAGAATTTCTCATGTCTGCTGCTTGAGTGTCTCCTTCATTCTTCCATCTGCTTCTGTGCCTCTCCTTCTTTGGCACAGCATCCCTGTGGACCCCTCCCCGAGTACCTGTCAGAGATCCAGCCACAGAGGAGGCCAGCTGTCCCTTGGTCCAAATTCCAAATAGGAGGCAGGTTTTGATGGACTTTGGGTTCAGCCTCCCCCTAGTCCTGTGACTGTCAAGCAGGTGCCCCTCAGCAGGTGTCCTATGGATGGGATGGGGCCACTCCCACAGATGGGGGAGTCCTTGTGAACTGAGCCGGTGCCCCAGAAGAAATCTAACATTTCTCAGGGCCTAGTGGGCGCAGTGACTCTTCCTGCCCTGAAGGGACATCCCCTGAAACTAGGTTCATCTCTCCGTGGCTGTCAAAAGACACAACTAAGTCAAGGAGTAGGAGAAAGTGACTCCGTGGACTGTAGCCTGCCAGGCTTGTTTGTCCATGAAATTCTCCAGGCAAGAATACTGGCATGGATTGCCATTCCCTTCTCCAGGGGGTCTTCCCAACCCAGGGATCAAACCCAAGTCTCCTGCGTTGCAGGCAGAGTCTTTACTGTCTGAGCCACCGGGGAAGCCCAGGAAGCAGGAGAGGGATTTATTACTTGCAGCAAATGAGAACATCAGGGATCTTTCCCAAAGCAGTGTCTCCTGGAACTGCAAAACAGGGAAAAATTTAAGCTAACAGGTGCATATTCATGAAGGGGCTTGGATGGTCCACAGAGTCCATACCTGAAAAGGTCAACATCATCATCCCTTAGGTTCCATTTGTTTTGGTGGTTGAGTGCCCAGGGGGGTTTAAATTCTGCAGAACAGCTCAAGAAAGTGCTTCAGGCTTGTCTTTACCATTGACACAGAACCCAGGGTCTTTACATGTTTTGTTATCTTTCCTGTTGCTCTGTTGTTCCCTTAAGGACAAGTACCGTGGCCAGGCTTAGATCACAAAATGGTTTAGACCAGAAATGGTTTCTCTTATGTCAAGAAAGTCCTTCTTGATTCTCTTGCTTCCAGGACACCCTACCATATCTGCCCCAGTATCACTCCCATTTTATGGTCAAGGAACCAGAGGCTCAGAGAAAAGAAGTAACATGCCGAAGGTCACATAGCTAGTGATTGTCAGAACCAAGATGCAACCCGATACAGAAACCAGGCTGCTGACCCTGTCCCCTGCCTCTCACTGTCCCGTCCTTTGCTGTCTCTTCCATCCTCAATGTTGTTGCCTTTTCTTCAGTGTCTCAGGATACTCCACTCTCCACCCTGGGAGTCAGGTTTTCCCACATGTCCATGCTCTCGCTTTCAACCCGTTTTCTCAGTTGTTTGTCACCTTATCCGTGGACTGAACTTGGAGTAAAACAGATCTAGGGCTGCCTCTCAGCCCCACCGTTTACTGTGTGGCCTCGGACAAGTCACCACACTTCTCTGATTTCTTGGTGTCCTGGAAGATGGAATGGGGATAATCCTTCAAATGGATCTCCACTTGTCACCATGTTGCTATCTTCCCTGGTACTTTCCTGAGACTGTGTGGGGGAGTTTGGCTGCTTCAGGCCAGGGTAGCAGCAGCAGCAGCATGATGGGTGGGCCTGTGTCTGTGGCCTCTTCCACTGGGGTTTGTGTCCTGGGGGATCATGGCACCTGCTCTTCCCTGCCTGCCAGCAAGGAGGCTGTCACAAGCTCCTGCTTTGTCCTGTGCTCTGGCTCCGCAGGGGGCGGGCACTGATGAAGCCTGCCTGATTGAGATCCTCGCCTCCCGCAGCAATGAGCACATCCGGGAACTGAACAGACTCTACAAGACAGGTTAGACTGGCCCCAGGGCCTCACCCACCATGACCACACCCTCTCCCAGGGCCTGAACTCTTCCTTCCTGACCTTATCTCCTCATCTCCTGCCATCCCCAACACACTGGGCTTCCATCCCAGCCCAGCCCTGCTTGCTGTTTACACAGAAGCAGGTGACTGAGGTTAAGGGAGGGCTGAGGGAAAACCTCCTGGGCACGACTAGGGCCAGGTCAGCCTGGGAGTCATAGCCCTTCCTGGTCTCCAGTTGTATGTTCCTGGGGGCCATGTGGGCCACCTGTCTCCTCATGCCAGGCTCACTGTTGACTGTGCACTGGGCAGCTTGGTCCACGGGGCTACAGGGTGCCCCTTCCCTGCATCTTGCTTTCAGAATTCAAAAAGACTCTGGAGGAGGCCATTCGGAGCGACACGTCAGGGCACTTCCAGCGGCTCCTCATCTCTCTCTCTCAGGTACTTTCCCAGGGCAGAGCTTGGGCCCACGGCAGGGAGAGGTGGACGTCTGAGCCACAGGGAGGAGGATCAGGGAGGGAGGGATGTGACTCCATGGAGTGGCCTTGCCTCACGGCCTGCTTCCTTTCAGGGGAACCGGGATGAAAGCACGAACGTGGACATGACTCTCGTCCAGAGAGATGTGCAGGTGAGTGATGGCCGCTCACCTGGCTTCTTGAGCAGGGAGCGTCTCCCACTTCCTTGTGTCATGAGGGGTGGAAACAGCAAAGATTAGGAGTAGATTCCAGATGCTGTAAGTTTCACAGGCTCTGCTGCTTATCAACTGTGTGACCTTGAGCAGGTCACCCCACCTCCATAGGCCTCAGTCTCCCGCCCTGTAGGAGGGACCATGTGGAATAATATTAATTTTAACAGTTGGTAGATCAGTGATGGATGTGGGATTTCATGTGATTTTGTACGTGTGTTTGATTGCCTAGACCATTATTCTGTTAAGCTTTTGATTTGAACCTAGAAACCAGCTGCCATGTTAGTTGTGTAGCCTTGGAATTCTGCCCTTGTCCCCAGCCTGGTGTGAACTGCAGACCAAAGGGGGAGCTGTCTCTGGCCATTTCCTCTCTTTGTCCAGGCATCCAAGCGCCTCTCCAGAGGAGTTTGGGTTTCCCACCGACGATGTCAGAACACCATGGCAGTTCTGGCTGGGGAGGGCCCGGCTTCGGGGGCTGGAGGGCACTGAGGTGTCCAGGTGAGGACACTGAGGCTCAGGGAGGCAGAGCTGTGTGCTGAGAAACCTGGAGGCGGAGCCTGGACAGAGGCCAGATACCTCGTTCACATCCTGTGCCCAGACAGCGCCTGCCTCTGCCCTGGGCCCAGACCCCTCCTTAACATCTCCCGGGCTGGGGCCCCCATTCCCATAACTGAACTCAGGGCTGGACGTCCTCAAAGCCCCAGGCTCTGGCCTTGCCCCTGTGGGGATTTTCCCATTGCTGTTTCCTATCCAGGCCGTTTCTTAGCTCAGGCAGAAGTTGCCTTGGTTGAAGGGTTTCATGCCGACTACTCTGCCTTCTTGGTTCTGGACCTGCTTGGCCTTACCTTGATGTGTGGGGTCTCTGAGCCCCTGATGGGCACCTTCTGCCCTCAAATATCGGTGCCTTTCAGTCCACGAGCTGCTGCTACCTGAGGCCCGGAAGGCTCTTTGGAGCCATCTGGTTCAGAGGTTACCAATTGGCATATATACTGAGCTTAGACCTTCAGTGGCTTAAGAGGAAACTGCAAATTCTTCCCATTTACAAACATAAAATGGTGTATGCAATAAAATGACAGGCAGGCACCTGTCACATAAAGCCCCACATCCATAACTGCGATTTATTAATTGTAATAGTTATTGTCTTATGTGTTCCTGCTTATAGATAGGGAAACTGCCTTTAAAGATGAGAAATTTCATATGGACATCTGGATTTCTGGCTCTCCTGGTAGCTTAGTTGGTAGAGAATCTGCCTGCAGTGCAGGAGACCCAGGTTTGATCCCTGGGTCGGGAACATTCCCTGGAGAAGGAAATGGCAATCCACTCTAGTATTCTTGCCTGGAAAATTCTAGGGACAGAGGAACCTGGCGGGCTACAGTCCATGGGGTTGTAAGAATTGGACACAACTTAGCAACTAAACCACTACATGAAAAGTGGATCTGCGGGCTGTGAGCCTTGTTCCTCTGTCTTGTTGTCAGCTGAGAAGCACCTCTGTGTAGTTCCCATGGTCCCCACCACTCTCTGGCCTTACAAATGCCCTGATTCCTGCATTTAAGTTACCCAGTGGCCCCTTTGGGCTTTCAGGTTGGTGACCCTGAATCTAATTCACTCTTCCCACTTTAGAGCTGAGAACGCTGAGAGGGCCAGTGACCTGCCTAGAGTCCCTTGGCAAGTGGGTGGCAGAGCTAGTACTCAACCTATGTTTTCCTTTGTGCTGCTGCCCCCCTGGTTCCTTGCCTGTCCTGGACCCCAGCAGCCTAGGCTCTCCTGGCTCAGGATGTGTGGATGGCATCTGTCTCAGCACAGTGAATGGAACTCAGCTGGGGCCCTGCCCCCCTTTCCCTCCCCTTTGGGCTTCAGAGCCCAGAGAGACTGCCTAGCTGTCCTAGGTGACCTGGGCCTGGAGTTGGGGGTGAGGCCTACATGCCTATCTGTCCATCTTCTGTCCAGGAGCTCTATGCAGCTGGGGAGAACCGCCTGGGAACAGATGAATCCAAGTTCAATGCAATTCTGTGCTCCCGGAGCCGGACCCACCTGGTGGCAGGTAAGGCCGTCCTGGCTTCCCTGTAGTCAGGAAATGGATTGCAGAAACACTTGGCAGTTCCTCACTGCATGGAGCTTTCACTTCCTTGGAAGAGCCCCCTAGTGGCGATTTGCAAGACAGTCTCAGCGTGTTTCCTGCGTGTGCTGGCATCTGGTTCTGAGGAAATCTGGGGAGGAGGTGAGAGAAGGGGGGCCTCCTGGTGGCTGGTGTCTTCACCTGCTAGAATATGGAATTGCAGAGTTTTTGTTTGGGAGCAGTTTTTAATTTTTTTTTAATTGAAATATAGTTGATTTACAATGTTGTGCCAATCTCTGTTGTACAGCAAAGTGAATCAGTTTTACACATTTATACATTCTTTTTAAAATTTTCTTTTCCATATTCATTCCAGGAGATTGGGTGTAGTCCCCTGTACTATATAGTAGGAAGTCCTGCTGACAGTTGCATGGACTTAGGTGTTTATCTTGAATAAAACAGGGAGCCAGTGGAGAGTGTGGTGTGAGGGAGGGGTGTGATTTGACTTAGGTTTTGCAAGTGTACTGACAGTTGTGCTGAGAAGAGTGACGGGGTCTATGGTGAGGAAGGAAACCAGTTAGGAGATGGCTGCAGTCAGTCCAGGGGAGAAGTGATGGTGGTGTGGACAGCTGGTAGGAGCAGGTGTTGAGAAGGGGTCAGATTCTGGCTCTGTTTGCGGATGAATTGGATGTGGGGTGTGAGAGAAAGCACCCCGGGATTTGTCCCTGCTGAGCCAGTGGAAGAGGAAGAGGGTGGGACCCTTGACTGAGAGTGGGAGGCTTTAAGGAGACAAGGGAATCGAGCTACAGGTGCCGTGGAAGCCACTAGGTTTGTGAGCCTGGAGGTCAGAAGAGGTCTGGCTAGAGGTGGAAGTTTGGGAGCTGAGTGGGTCGAAGGAGTTTGAGGCTCTGGGACTGCAAGTGGTCCCCTTGGGAGGGAGCGCAGTGGTCTGAGGACAGGGCTCTGGCCATGGCAGGAGACTTCGGAGGGGCACCCAGAGAAAGGGGTGTCCTAGAGGCCAGCAGTGTCAGCGTATAAGAGAGCAGGTGAGGATGGAGAACGATGACCACACCTAGCAGTGGGGTGGGATCTCCAGCACCCACTATGGGCATGTGCTGGGCCTTTAATAAATTCCAATAGGCGCCATTCTCCCACTTTACAGATGAGGAGTGGGGCAAAGGGCAGCTGGGGAAGTCAGGTACCCAACTGGTGATGTGGCGGAGCTGCCATTTGCAGGCATTTGCCATTTCAGGCTGACTGCCTCCACAGCACACATTTGAACCTCTGCACTGTACTATAATGGAGCAAGAGTGCACATACGTTCATCTTGGTCATTATTTATTTTAGTAAGTATGAGATATGTTTATCAGAACCCCAACTGCACACTAGCCAGAAGGAAAGAGGAGCTGATCTGAGTTGGATACAGAGGTAGTAGAAATCATGATTCTGATACGCAAATGACAGCAGTTTGGAGAACACAGAAACTGAGACCTTGGCCAGAGAAGAGGAAGTTACATCCTGGGGGCAGAATCAAGTTAGGACCCAGGTCTCCATGGCTCCACCTGCCTCTCTTAGAACCCACAACCCACTTCCCACGGGTGCTCAGCCCAACCCAGGGTAAGCTGGGGTGCTGGAGGGGTGTTAGCTTACAGTCAGATAGAGAAAGACCGACACATAGAATGATGGAGAAGGGCTGAGGCTGGAAGTGGTGGATCTGAGAAGAGCATATCAGTGTCAGGGCTCCTGGACAGGGGATTGAGTTACAATAGGTAAGCAGAGGTGCTGGTAAGGGGACTGAGTAAGCAGGCCTGGGGGGTGGGGGAGTACACTTGCCTTGGGGTGAAGAACTGGGAGACTTGAGAGCTGGGCTAGTGTGGTCATTGGGACCGCCTAGAGTGCCAGGAGCAGAGTCGGAGAGAGGGGCTCTGGGAAGAGGCAGAGGTCTCACCATGTGTCCTGTCTGAGTCAACTGGAGCTGCCATAATAAAATACCATGGGCCAGGTGGCTTAAACAGCAGAAATCTATTTTTTCCCAGTTTTGGAGGCCGGAAGTCCAAGATCAAAGTGCCGGCAGTGATGGTTTCTCCTGAGGCCTCCCTGCTTGGCTTGCACACGGCCCCTCCTTGGTGTGTCTGCGCATGCTCTTAGCTCTGTGTTTGCAGCCCTGGTGTTTGCTTGTGTGTGCAAATCTCCTTTTCTTAAAAAGACACCAGCCAGATTGGATTCGGGCCCATGCTGAGGGCCTCATTTTAACTTAATTACCTCTTTAAAGACTGTATCTCCAAGTACAGTTAAATTCTGAAGTTCTGGGAGTTAGGACAGTTCAACATAGGAATTTGGGGAGAGTGTCAGGGACAGAATTCAGTTCATAACGTGTCCCTCTGTCTTCCCACTAGTTTTTAATGAGTATCAGAGAATGACAGGACGTGACATTGAGAAGAGCATCTGCCGAGAGATGTCCGGGGACCTGGAGCAGGGCATGCTGGCTGTGGGTAGGTGTCTCAGCCCTCCTGCTGGAGCCTGGGGTGTGTTGTGAGTTTTCTGGGTGCTCACCCACCCTCCGGTTGAGGATGAGCATAGTGAAAGGGTCCAAGATTGTTAAATCCAGCTCCTACGCAGTGGGAAATCAGGCTGCTTCCTGGATAACTGTGTGTGGTTGTGCCCCCAGTGGTCTTGTTTATATTTCAAGCCCAGCCTCGGGGAGGGAGCTGCAGTGTGAGCACCAGTGGGAGCACGACCAGCCGCTCTCCGGGAGGAAGATGACTCACATCCTGCCAAGTCTTCTCTAAAAATATATCCCTGCAGGCAGTTGTCAGATGTTTGTGATGGGAACACGTGGAAAGATTTTTTTTACTTGCAACAGTAAAACAGGCCCTGGCTGAGGAAAACTGGCATAGCTCCCGGGACGCTGTGCGCTTCCCACAGTGCCCGGGTCCCGTCCTTCAGAGCAGGGCCTGGCATGCTCCAGACCAGTCCTCCCCCTGCCCACCACCTGCGGGTTTGGCCCCTCTTTATACCCACTTGGGACTCTCATGGGTTGTCCATCTTCTGCTTTGCTTTTCTTGGAGCTTTCTGAATGGGACAGGTTCCCCCATGTCCCCCAGGGTAGGTATCATGGCCTGAGAACCCTAGTTAGATATTCATTCTGCTCAGACAGCCTTCCCCCCCGAGGGTCACGCCATCCCCAGTGGGTCCCCTCCTGCCTGAGCAGCCATATGGTTCCTTACGACCATCCACATTCCTTCCCTACCAGCTTCCTCCATCACATTGGTTACCAGGAAAGGAGTTGCGTTGGTGTCCAGGCTGCATGTTTCTATTCCAGAGGGCTGGAGCCAGGATCGTGGGATAATTGAGCCTGAGGAGATGAGGGGGGGAGGAAGATGGATTCCCTGGTGTGTTTGATGGACAGCCGGCCTTCTAGGAGGCGGCTGTGTGCCCCATGTCCCCCTGACTGAGTTTTCTGCAGATCAGTTCATGCTGTTTCTCTCTTCCAGTGAAATGTCTTAAGAATACCCCAGCCTTCTTTGCTGAGAGGCTCAACAAGGCCATGAGGGTAGGTAATCCCCAGGTGTAGGGTCTGGGTGAGGGGGGTGTCTCAGCCCATCCTGTGATTGGGACCTTGCTCAGGGGAGGAAGCTTGAGGAGAGCCACCCTTCCTCCAGAGGGGGCGGGGAGGGGCCCAGGGCCCAGGAATGGTGGGGACTGGATGGTGAGGAGGTCCATAGCTCATGCCCTTGGGCCACTCTCTTTAGGGAGCAGGAACCAAAGACAGGACCCTGATCCGCATCATGGTGTCTCGCAGCGAGATCGACCTCCTGGACATCAGAGCGGAGTATAAGCGGCTGTATGGCAAGTCGCTGTACCACGATATCACGGTACGGGCCCCTGGGGGCTGTCTGGGCTGTCTCCCTGGCCACCCCCACTATCCCCGTTGCTCTTCCTCAGAGCGCCTATAGGCTTGGCCTCAGCCAAGCAAGGCATCTTGTTTGTGGTCCTCTGCTTGCCCTCTTCAGCTTTCACTTGTTCACCTGCTTGCACAGCAGCAGCTTGTCAGCACCTGACGGCAGGGAGGGTCTTGACCCTCCCTCTATACCAGCATCTAGCACAACTGCTGTTCAGGAAATGGTTGGCAGAGGAGGGTCCACAATCAGCATGAGAGACACACAGTACCACCCCCCACACACATGTACACCTGGTGCCTGACCTCCAGAGTCCAGCCACCCTGTGGATCTGGCATCCATCAGTGAGAACTCAGGTCCCAAGCCCTTCCTGACGAGTCACCTCTTTCAGCTTTATGGTGAAGGCAGCACAGGAAGGCAGTTCAGAGCGAGGGCTCGGGGGTCACACCACTTGGGTTCTAATTCTGGCTTTTCTATTAGTATTTTCTCACTGTGTGATCTCACACAGCTTGCTTAAACCTCCCTGAACCCTAGTTCCATCATCCTTGAGATGATCCCACCCCCAGAAGTGTTGTATCTTGAAGGAAGCCGTCCATGTAAAGCATATTGTATGACATGTACGTATCTGATAGATAGTAGTGCCTCTCTTATCAGTGTGTGCTAGAGATAGTCTGACAGAATTGATTCCTATTGCAGGGGGAGTGGGAAGGAGGGGCCTTCTGATAGTTAAATTCTGAGCTCACATGAATCTTTAAATGGCCACACCCAGGTCCTGATGTTGGGCATCTTCTTGAGAGAAGCTTCTCTGTCTTTTCTTGGCTATAGAAACAATGCTGCTGATAGCAATCTTGTGTTTGCCAGTAGGCTGTGGGCATCTGGAATAAGCCATACTCCTTGCCCTCAAGGAAGAAAATGATTAGAAATTAGCTCACTGTGGCCTTATGTCTAAGTGCAGTGGACAGTTGGAGGAGAGCTTAATGTGAACTGGGAGCTGAAATAGTAACCGTCTCCTCCACTGGATGATCGTATCACAGTAGATGACGTTTCTGGTACAGGACACAGCAGTGCCTTATGGTATAATCCCTGTTGAGTGCAACAGAAATGCACTGGGCAAAGGCCGCCATTAGTTAGACCTGGGTAGGGGTGTTTCTGGCTGTTCAAAAATTTTTTGTGTTTGTTTTTCAAATTCTGACTTTGATCATTGGGGTGAGTACAGCTTTCAGTTTTTTAAATGGAGGAGACTAGGGAGGCTGAACTACACTGTCCATGGTCCATGCACTTGTGATGCCAGCATGTGAGCTGCTCGCCTTCTCAGCAGAATGGGAAATTTCATAAGATAGGGCCACCTCTCTGTAAGGGCACTTTGGGCAGAAGATAATCAAGAGCCAGGGAGCCAGAACTGGTCGAGCCTTTCTTAACTTGATGTCTTACTCCTTCCTGTGACCAGGGAGACACTTCAGGGGATTACCGGAAGATCCTGCTGAAGATCTGTGGTGGCAACGACTGAGCAGTGGCTGGTGGGTCACTTCTCTCCACCTGCTGGCAACAGCAGTGCCAGGAAAAGGCCAAAAGGACATTTGTCTGTTTCTAACAAATCTACAAAACCGCCCCCAGGTGTCACCATTCAGACCAGCCGTAGAGCCGTGTTTCCAGCTCCTCCCCCACCCTCTTGATCCGTGCACTGTGCTTGTGCTGAACCTCGTCAGTCTCTCAGGACGCCTCCTGCCCATCCCCACCCCTCACAGCATCTTGCAGCTAAAGTAGATGTTTTGTTTCCTCACTCATGCAGTCATTCCCCTTTGCTTATGGCTGAAACTCTTGGCTTCCTTTTAGTCATGTAATTTCGTATGTTTAGAAGGTTTTTTTTTTTTTTTAATATATAGTTGCAGACAGTTGCATACACATCTTTGCTGCATACAAAGTTTGGGTGAAAGAGGTGGGGGTTGGAGTACCTTGTCTTCACTGAGGAGTAAAAGGGAAAACCCTTAAGGTTACACAATCTGCATCTGGTGAAAATGTGTCAAGAGCTTTGTTATTGCCAAACTCACTCCTTTTTAGAAAAGAAAAGGCCAGAAAGTCATCTCCTCTGTCTTCCACACAAACCACAAGAACAAAGCCAGCTCCCTGCCAGTGACAGGGCTTCTTATAATTGAGAATGTGCCTTAAACATGAATGTCGATGGCCAAATGCTGTTTCCAAATTAAAGTCACCCAGCTCTGGAATGTTCTGGAAGTGTTTTCCTGGTGCCAGTTTGCTTTCCCATGCTTCATAATTCTGCCCTGTAGCTTAGGGGTTCCAGCCTTATTAGCTCGTGAAAAGTTATATGGCTTTAAATAGAAACTTGTGCTTAGGAAACCCTGAATAGAAGTAATATGCAGGGATTGGGTCTTAAGGACATGAGAAATGGAGGTTCCTGAAATCTTTGCTCAGGGCCCGCATGCTGAAAAGGCACACAGGGTTTTTGGTAAGATGTGGGTGCAGTGAAGTCCATTAGGGCAAGTAGGAGGAGTGTGGTTCTTTCCCCGGGTCTGGAAGGAAGGGCACAGACAGAAGGGAGTGTGCATGACTCCTGGGGGTAGCCTTACAACAGGAAGTCAGAGAGGCATGAGATCAGCTCCTCCCCACAGGGACGCTTCAGTCTGAAAGGGAGCTCCAGGCTGTGGTCTATTGGGGGGCCCTTTGCCCCTTTGTTGGTGGTATCCGGAGAAGGCGAGTCCAGAAGGGGCAGAGTTTCTAGAAATCATTGCATCTCATCCAGAAGCCCAGAGCATGTCTTCTGGTCAGTGATCTCCACTCCCTTTGTAGTTTCTTACGATGAAAGTTTAGAAAGGAGAGAAGCCAGAGGCCAGGGTGGGAGCCCAAACCTGCTGAGCCCTAGCAAAGGCCACAGGGAGTGCCTTGTTCACAAAGTAGACATCTGCTTGGGGACACCAGTTTGTCTCCTCCCTGCCTTCTAGACACAGAAGAGGAGATGGCCTAAGGGGCATGAGCTGGACAGAGCCTGCTCTACCCTGCCAGAGAAGGCTGCTGTGGGCTCTGGAATGGAAGGCAGGCAGGCCCTGCTTGTCAGTTCAGCTCTGCCTCAGTTCCCATGCCTGGAGCCACTTGACCAAGACCCAGCATGCTTGGCCATCCTTGTGCTTTGGCAGGGAGTTATAGTCCTAGCCTAGAAATCAAGCTAAATCATTTCCCCAGGCAGATACTAGCTTAAAATGTTTGCTTCATGAAACCTGAAAGCTCTCTGCTTGTGTTCTAAAAACAAGGACATCGTTACTCAGTTCTCCACCTGGCCCTATACAGGGTTCAATCTCAGCAAAGGATTCAATCAGTCAAGCCCCCATCTCTACAAGGGGCTCTCATCCCCTCCAACTCCTTGGAAAACTCACTTTGGCCTAATACTGGTGTTCACTCTGAACCCAGTGCAGCCCTGAAGCAGAAAGAGCACTGGTCCAGGAGTCAGGCATCCCTGTTCTGGCCTCAGCTCAGCTACTGATTTGCTGTGTGACCCCCGGTAAGTTACTTCTCCTCTTTGGGCCTAAAGTGAAGGGGAGACTATACATCAGAGCTTCTTAAACTTCATTCTTGTCAGCAAAAATGGTAGAGTAGGGAACTTGAAAAGCCTATTCCTCCAAAAAAGTGATAAGATGTCAGAGTCAACTTTATGAGAAATCTGAAAATGAAAGTTTGCAGCAATAAAAAAAAAAAAAAAGCTTTAATAAAAACAAAAACTGAGTCTTGGTAAGAGGGTCTTGTGGCATTCTCACTTACCCCAGCCTTATCCTCCTCACCCCAGCTTGGCAGACTCAAGAACAATATTCACAGTCCTTTATAGGTCCTTAGCAATGGATGGAGCAGAATGGACCTTGTTCTCAAGAGGTATGGTTGGTTGTTTTGACCTGTCTGGTTGCTGCCAGGAAGACTGACTGAAATGACTTTCTTTTATTTTACCTAATATGGAACTCTTGCAAGCTGGAGGTGGCAACCTTTAGGGACATTTGAAGGCAGTTTCATTAGCACTAATGCCTGGAGAGAGGGATAACAGTTGGGACAAACAGGTGACAAATTGAAAAGTTTGGGGAGCAAAGGCTGACAGTGTGATGCTTTGTGGAGTAATGGTTTTGGGGTGCTTCCACTAATTGCTGGGAATCTGGAAGGCCGCATGCATGTTCAGGGCTGGCCATATGCCTAGAAGACTTGAGAGGGCCCTAAACTCTCACCTCTGGCAGACCTTCAGGCTCTGCATTTGCAGGAAGTGAACGCTACTGCAGAGTCACAGTCTGGCTGGCTGCGTATCAGAAGATTTGCCTCCAATACACACAGAACACACTTGTAACTGGGAGATTGGGGTTTTGTTGTTGCAGGAGTTAAAGTTGAATCACTAGAGGCCATTAAGTTAGCTGAACAGATACTTCAGTGGCCACACTTGACAGAGAATACAAACTTTTAAAATATCAGTTCAGAAAGTCACTAGACAAACTACATGAAATTCAGCAAGCAGCAACAACAAACTCAGGAAGGGAAAGAAAGAATCTGATTTCCAGAGTTTTCACATAATGTTCAACAAATGCCCAGTTTTCAACAAAAATTACAAGGCATGCAAGGAAACAAAATATGGCCCATATACAGAAAAACAAGATCACTTAGAGAGGTTCAAGAAGATATTTGAGAGAGCAGAAGAAAGAGTTGGCAAACTTTAGGTCAATTGAGATCTCCCGATCTGAGGAGAGAAGAAAATGGAGCCTAAGACCTGTGGGACATCATCAGGTATACCAACATACACATAATGGTAGTCATAGGAGAGAGAAAGCAGAAATATATGAAGAAACAGTGGCTGGAATCTTACAAATTTGATGAAAGATATTAATCCACACATCCCAGGAACTCAAATCATAAGAGGTATTTTTATGAAGATCTGCTTTGGGACATATAACCAAACTGTTGACAGACAAGGAATTGTGAAGTCAGCAATAGAGAACTGACTTGTCACATACAAGGGATCTTCAAAAATATTAACATTTGATTGCTTGTCAGAAACGATGGAGGCTAGAGGGTTATGGGATGACATATTCAGTGCAGTGGGAAAAAATGTCTACAGGAATCCTATACCTAGCAAAATAGTCTTCAAAAATGAAGGAAAAGTTAACACATTCCTGGGTGAACAAAAATTGAGACAGTTTTCTTGCTAGTAGATTTTCTGTATGAGAAATGCCAAAGAAAGTCCTTCAAACTGAAATGAAAGGTACTGTAATTAAAATCCACATGAAGAAATAAAATATTGTTAAACACAGGTAAATATAAATATCAATATGTATTTTTTAAATTTATAGTACTTTTTTCCTATATGATTTAAAAGAAAACTGACACCAAACAATGATTATAATACTATAGTTGGCACAAAATGTATAAGGATGTATTCTGTGACAATAACATTAAAGGTGGGTGATGGAGTTATACAGGACATATATAGAGAAAGTTTTGGTCTACTATTGAAACTTGGTACTGGACTGGACTGTTATAAGCTGGACTGTTATAAATTAAGATGTTAATGTAATCCCAGAAAATAACTAAAAAAACAGTAAAGGAAAGAATCAAGTGGTACACTTGAGATCATCTAACAAAATATGGCAATAATGGAGGAATTAAGGAGTCAAAAATTATAAGATACAAAACAAATAGCTAAGTGGTATAAGTTATTAATGTGGCTAAGTCATTTCAGTTGTGTCCAACTCTTGCCATCCTATGAACTGTAGCCTGCCAGGCTCCTCTGTCCATGGGATTTTCCAGGCACTGATACTGGAGTGGGTTGCCATTTCCTCCTCCAGAGGATCTTCCTGACCCTGGGACTGAACCTGCATCTCTTACACCTGCACTGGCAGGCAGGTCCTTTACCACTGTACTATCCGGGAAGCCCATAAGTACTTAAAATATAAAGGGAGTAAATGCTCCCAATTAAGAGGCAGATGTTGGCAGACCAAGGACATACCCTAATAAAATGTTTAATCCATCAAGATATAACAACTGTAAACATATGCATCTAACAGTAGAGCCCCAGAAAAGTCAGAAACAAATGACAATGGAAGGGAGAAATAGTTAAGCAATAGTGGTTGGAGACTTTAACACTTCACTTACCCTATTGGATAAAACAGACAAAAGGAGCAAAATGCTCAAGGAATAAATTTAACCAAGGTGGTGTTAAGACACACTAAAAAAAAAATCCTGTGCTCATGGATTAGAAGATTTAGTCCTGTGGAGATAGCAATACTCTAAAAATTGATCTATAAGTTCAATCCGATACATACCAGAACTTCAACTGCCTTTTGTCCTTGTGGACTGGCTGATCCTAAAATCCACAAGGAAGTGCATGGAATTTCTCAAAACGCCAAAAGAGCCTTAGAAACGAACAAAGGCAGAGAACTCATAGTTCTTAATTTCAAAACTTGCCACAAAGCTGTAGTAATTCATTGTGATACTGGCATAAAGAAGGTATATAGAACCATGGGATAGAATTGAGATGTAAACCTTATGCTAAAATGATTTTTAACAAGGGTGCCAGGACCATTCAATGGGGAAAGAATGTTCTCTTCAACAGCTACCCACAAACCAATTAATGAAGTTGAATCTTCACCTCACACCACATACAAACATTGACCTAAAATAGCTTTAAACAAAACAATGTAAGAACTAAAGCTATAAAAATCTTATGAGACAGGAATAAATAATTCATAACTTTGGATATGTCAGTGGATTCTTATATTGATAGCAAAAGAACAAGCAACAATAACAAAAAATAGATAAACTGAATTTCATCAAAACAAACTTGGATATCAAAGGACACTGTCAAGACAACCCACAGAATGGGAGAAAACACCTGCAAATCATATTTCTGATAAAAATTTAGTATCCACAGTACATAAAGAACTCTTACAACTCAACAGGAAAAAGACAGCCTAGTTTTTTAAATGGGCAGAGGATTTGAATAGACTTTCCCCCAAAAAGATAACAAAAGTGACAGACAAACATGAAAAGATGTTCAGCATCACTAATCATCAGGTAAATGCAAGTTAAAACCACGAGATACCACTTCACATCTAGTGTGATGGCTGTAATCAATGAGATGTGTTGGGGAGGATAAGGAAAAATTGAAAATCTTACATATATATTGCTGGTAGGAACATAAAGTGATACAGTTGCTATGCAAAAATGGTGAATCTTCAAAAACTTAAAGAGTCACTCTTTGACTGAACAATTACATCCAAGAGAAATGAGAACACATACCCACCCAAACTTATGCATGAATGAGTGTTCATAGTGTTAATCATAATAACTCCAAAGTATAAACAACCCACATGTCCACAGATTTGATGAATGGATGAATAAAATGTGATAGCTACATAATGGAATATTGTTCAGCTATAAACAAAAATGAAGTATTGATATATGCTACAACATGGATGAACCTTGAAAACATGGTAAGTGAAAAAACGTCAGACACAAAATATTAGTGATTTCCAAGGGAGGATGGGAGGGGAAATGGAAAATGACAGCTTAATAGTACAGGGTTTCTTTAGGGGGTGATGAAAATTTCTAGAATTAGGTGGTGGTGATTGCACAACACTGTGAACCCACTGAATCTGTACCATTTTGAACAGTTAAAATTTAGAATTTTACATGAATTTTACTTTAGTCGAAAAAATTTTTTCTTTAGTCGAGAAAAATTTAACATGCATACAAATCCCCTGGGCAGTCTCATTAAAATGTAGGTTCTGGGCAGGGCCCCAAATTCAGCACTTTTGATAAGCTTCCAGGTGACTCCTTTACTGTTCACCCATGGTCACATGCTGATTAACAAGGCTACTCAGAGGGCCCTTCCACTGTGCTGCCTTAAAATTCTGGGCTTCAGGGGCCTCACCTCTTGAACCCATCCCTGCCCTGTCCATCCCTGTAAATATGAAGGGTGGAAGTGTGCAGATGGACTGGTGTTCTTGCGTCTGAGTCTGCAGGGGTGTGAGTCTCAGGGCATGGGAGCAAACGGAGAGGGGGCTGTGGCTCCTGAGGTCACTGTCAGCAGACACAGAGAGGACCAAAGGAGTAGGTTTTATTTTGCACAAAGCTGAGGAAGCCAGGCCAGAATGCCTGTTCTGTTCTCAGAGGAGAGCTGTTGTGTCACTGCCAGCTGCTGGGCGGCTCCAGCTCTGGTGCTCAAAAGCGATCTGAAAGAGAGGGGGCAACCTGGGGGGTGAGCGAACGGGTACTGACTGCTGCCTGCCCTCCCCTCCCAGTCCCCCAGGGACTCCTGTGCCAGGAACACAGGGTTCAAGGAGGAGGCAGCTGCTCCGCGTCAGGGTGGTGCTGAGAGTGGAACTCTGATGCTGGGCTGCAGCAACCCCAGGGGTGTGGGCAGACAACTCTTGAGGGGGAGTTGGGGGGGATTCCTCCCAATTCTGTCCCAAAGAGAAGCTGGAGACTTCCTGGCTTGTCCAGGTTACACAGTGGAGTGGAGCAGTCGTCCCCACCCTGCTGCCCAGTTCCAGAGGCTGTCATCTCTGCAACCCAAGCTGCTCACCATCTCCATCTCCGAGGAGGTCGGGGATCGGGCTGAAGGGCCCCGGGGGCAAGTTCCAGGCCAGCTCCTCCAGCTGACCCAGCAGGCCTTTGACTTCTGCCTCCAGGTGCTCCACCGTCTTCTCCACCGTCTAGAGCAAGGAGAGAAGGCAGAGGACAGTAGGGGAGTGGAAGACAAGAGTGAGGTCAATCTTGCTTCATCAGCCACATCCTCCAGAGCCCATGGCAGTCCAGTAGGGTGCAGTGGGAAGACCTGGGTCCTCCTGGTTCAGGCTCTGCCCGCATCTGCCTCTCGGCTTCCAGATGACAAGATTTGAGGGGCTCACTCAAGGCCTCTCCTGGTTCTGGCGCTCAGGGGTTTCACTTAATCACTGGTTTGGGTGCGAGGATGGACTCTGGGATCCCTTTTCCTATTTCAAGATGACACCACTGGGAATTCGCATTCCTTTTGTTGCCCCGCCCCCTAGTGGCGACTCTGCCAAATGACCGTTTTGGCATTTTGAAATTTTCTTAACTCGGGGTTCTTAACTTTTTTTGTAAATGAATCCCTTTAGTAGTATGGTAAAACCTATAGACCCCCATTAGAAGACTGCTTTCATTGAGAAAACATATAGGATTTCCAAGGACATAAACTGCATTAAAATATTAAAGTATTTAATTTTGATATAAAACTTCCTAGCTCAAGTAACAGCAGGCCTAGCAACCACTGAATTTTTGACACGCTGATTAGAATAAATGATATGTTGAGATATTCACAGTGACTATAATGGGATGAAATTATCTGTGATTTCTATTGATGACAAAGTCAAGGTACAGTTGTTTTTTGTCTATAGTGGTTTATTGTCTATAGTGAATGAGAATGCTAAACTTCAGCTAAAGGTTTGTGAAATAAAGTGCAGTTTTCCCCCCCATACAAGTTTATGGACCTTGGGTTACAAGCAGTGGCTGTATAACAAAACACAGCAACTGAATTTCCACCTTCTCATCTGGTGAATACGCAGAGATCTCTGGCTGGAGGCAAGCAAGTTCCCAGGGGAGGCAGGGTCTGTTGGGGGCTGGTCAGCCTAACAGTACAGGTAGGGCACGGAGATGTTTAACATGGTGGCCAGGGAGGAGAACTGGCCTAGATCGCCCCAATTTTCCAAAGCCAGATTGGCTTGAGCACTCCAAAGCCACCAGCCTGGCAGATGGTCCCGAAGCTACATGTCCTCCCAGGTCACCCACATTACCTCCTCTATGACATCCAGCCGACTGTGGACAGCCATGTATCTGTCACACCCTGTGCTCTGAGCTGAGTCTCCTCGGGAGGGGATGAAGGGTTCATCAGCTGTGGGAAAACAAGTCTTGTCAACGTGGGGCCCTCGGTTTCCCTGTAACATTAGAGTCTCCTACAAAGTACCTGGCTCAAAGGAGGTGAATCCTGAAAACAGTCCAAAGAGAAGCAGAGAGGGCCAGGGTGTGAGTGTAGGGCTGCCCTACTCACTCATCTCTAGGGCCATGGTCACCTACAGACCCAAGTGGGCATCCTCAAGGAGGTGAGGCCTGAACTGGGTAAGAAAAGGAAGGGAAGGGATGTTTTAGCCAGAAAGAATGCATGTGCAAAGACAGACATGAGGTAGTATGGCTCAGTGCAGAAACCCTTGGGAGTCTGGAGTGGCTGGAAAGTACCGGGTGGGTGGGGATGAGACTGGAGAGGTGGATGGTGGAAACAAAGCCGGGGCCTAATAAATCAATCATGATGTTTCAAGGGTTCTTTTAACAGGAGAGTCACGTAGTCATATATGAATTTTCAAAATACAGAGAATGAATTGGAGAGATTCATCTTTAAAGGCAGGAAGTATCGCAGTAATCAGCATAAGAACTGATGAAAGGAGGCAGCTGTAGGAAAAGAGGAAGAATATGTGTGGAGATATTTTAGAAATAGCATTATGTGCCACATGGTGTGCTCAACAAATGTGTAAACTCAGCCAACCTCTACAACCAATTACTATCCACAGTTTACACATAAGGAAATTGAGAGGGGTGAAATGATAGGTCCAACATCACACAGCTAGTAAGTAGAAGCTCTGAGGTTCAACTTGTTCAACAACATTTTCCTCCCCACTGTTGACTCCTCCTTGATTCTTCCTGGCACCAGCAACCTTCACACCAGAAGTCTTACAGCCCGGTTTTGAGATTAAGTTGCAGGGTTGGTGGCTCTGAGATGTTTTTAGGGCATCCAAGTTGGCTGGATCCTTGGAAAACCTGGACACTCAGGAAGGGGGACACTGCCCCAGAAACAAAGAGAAGCCACGCACTTTAAAGATGACGAAACAGCATGGCCTAAAGAGGCACTGCGGTCTAGCAAGATAAAGACTGAGACACAGACCAACAGAGAAGTTGATGCTGAATGCCATCCCAGCGCGTTTAGTGAAGAGGAGCCAGCGGAGCAGAGTCTAGTCACAGTGGGGTGAGAAGGGAAGCAAAGGCCAGGAGAAGGAAACAGAGATCCTGGAAAACATTACCACCAAGCTTGGCTGCGAAGGGAGATCAGATCACAATGTCTAAAGAAGTGTTTATTGTTATTTCCAGGTTTTTAAGCATTGAAGAAACTCACGCTTTTAGCCTGAGGACAGGAAGAACCCAGGAGAACTGAAAGAATGCATTTCCTGAAGAGATGTGAGGCCACAGAATCCAGAAATGGTGATGGGGATGGTCACACGTGGAAGGAACAGAGAGGACATGCTGCAGAAATGGGTAAAATGTTCTACTTAGAAGAGTCAAGAAGTTGAGCGAGTCCCACCTAATAACTGCTATTCACTCGGTGAAGAGGGGAATCATCTGCTGAAAACTCATGCAGGGTTAGCAGAGGAGAGTTCATTGTGAAGTTATTGGGAATTCTATGAGCAGGCTGATAGACACAGTCACTAAAATGGGAGCCACGGCAAAGAGTACTTTCACCATGGAAACTGACAAACACTTTGTTTCCCAAGAGCCAGTGTATCAGCGCCCCTGGGTAAGAAGCTTGAATAAAGAGAGGGGGTGAGGAGAATGACAGAAGGAGTTAAGAGTTTGATACAGAGTAAGAGTGCCAAGGAAGCCCCACCCCGGCAGCTCAGCAGGTAGGTGTTAGCAGCAAAGACAGATGGGTGGACAAGCTGAAACCTGGGAGTCCGAGGGATGAATGTGGTGAAGGGCAGAAGAGAAAGGAGCTGACGATTCAACCAGCAGGGCTTAGGTGGCTGAGTTCTGGAGTCTAGCTTGAATAAGGAAGGGGGAAAGGCCAATAAGAAGACTAATAATTGGGAGAAAGGGAGGGTCTGAAGGCACTAGAGGTCCTGATGCAATGATGGGAGTAATGGAATTTACTGCAATTTTTAGCTTTGAGAGGTGGAGCAGCTTCACAGTGACAATACCACGACTGTGGGCATCTGAATCTGAGTGGGGGTAAGAGTTATTGGACTTGATCTTTGTAAATGTAAAACTCTTGTAACTCTAAGACCTCAGTGTTGGCTGGGTTGCCCAAGGGGATGATATAAAGTTGCCTAGAAGGTTGGCAGGCCTTGAGGTAAGGATGGAGATGATAAGCCATTTTGCTGGTGATGAATGTGTAACTCTGAAGGCTGGGTGACTTGTCCAAGATCACACAGTTGGCAAATGACTGAACTCCAAGGACCCTGGCCTCCTCCTGGCCCCATGTCAGCCAGCTGGTTTTCTGGAGCTCTCCAGAGTCCCTGTGCCCTAAGAGTCTCTAGTCCCAACTCTATCTGGACCCCAGCTCTTCCACACAGGGGTGAGAGCCAAGCACAGGGACAAAACTTCCTTCCACTCTGAGCATCTTTTGTGGAGGATTTCAGTTTTTACTTTATGCTTTTTATTACATCCATCCACTGAACTTAGAAATGCCTCTTCAAAAAACACTGGTCGTGTTGTTGACTTTGACGAGGGAGGAGATATTATAGTGTCACTCTGGTTATCTTTTTAAAAGGAGCCTTTTAGAGAGCTATCCTGAAATATTTATAGATACAATGCTATTATGTCTTGGCCTTACTTCAAAATAATCCAGGCCTGGGAGTGGGAGGAGGCGTGGGTAGGAGTATTGAATATTGGTCAAGACTGACCAAGACTGGTAATTGTTGAAACTGAGTAATGGGGACATGGGGTGGGGGTTGGAGGGTTCACTCTGCTAGTCTACTTTTGTATGCCTGGTTTGAAATTTTCCACAATGTAAGGCAGTTGTCCAATGAGGTTGTCAGCAAAAAACATAAGTCATCATGCGCTTTGTGCATTGATGCAAAATGTTCTGGATGTGTGTTGGGGGTTGTTCTGAGAGACCCCACCTGGAGGGCTGTGCTCCATTCTGGGTCACTCACTGCGAGAAGGCTTTGGACAGGCAGGCGCAGGTCTAATGGGGTCACTGTGAAGGCACTCTAGATGTTGACTCATATGTCTCAGTTGAGAAAACTGGGGTGCTCAGCTAGAGAGAAAGGACTTGGAGGGGGCAGGCAGTGCTGTTCTCAGCCACACAGAGGGCTGTCCTGGTCTAGGTCTGTGCTCACATACACCTCCTGCAGGCTTTGCCCAGAGGGGCCTTTGGCCAAGCCCTTCCCCTGCACCCCACCTGCCCTCTCCCAGACCCTAAACGACTCCTCTCCCCCTCCCCCATGCACGTAGGCCAAGAGGAAGCAGGGTGACCCTGCCGGCCAAGCGGGGCTCTACCAGCCCTCTAAGTCATGAACAACATGAATCTGCTCCCCTCGCTCAGCCTAAAACATCCTGTTCTCTGCGTGTCTGCGATGAGGTCTGACTTGGCTCCCAGACCCCTCCAGGGAAGAGGCTGGGCTGAGGCTGCTCTCCACATCACATGGCAGTAATCCGTCGCATCTGGACACAACTGCGCCCAGGGCTGCGGCACAACTGTCTGTGAGCTCATCCAGGCCTCCCGGGGAGCTCTGCTGAGAGGGCGGGTTGGGGGGGTGGCGGGAAAAGCCAGGCCACCCTGCCCCGCCGCGCCCTTCCCCACGGGGCTTCTCAAGGCTTTGACCTCGAAGCCTGAAGGCAGAAACACACTGGAGCCTCAGCCGTGCACTGGTGCGGCCGTGGGAACTTTCTGCTCCCTGAGCCCCTGCTGCCTCCTCAGAACAAGGGTTGTGGGGCGGTGGGGAGGGCGAGGCACTCCCGAACAGATGCAGCACACCCAAGATTCCTCTCTGTCTCTCAGACCTCAAATGAGCTACCAGGACAGAACCGAGACGAGTCTAAGGACAAGTTGCTTCTCCGCCCAGAAACTCCAGCAAAGCAAGAGTTAGGCAAGGATTCCCTTCTTTGCGCAGTCTTAAGGAGCTCTTGATAATGCCCCCCCCGGCTTCAGGGGCTCCAGGGAAGCTCAAACCAGAGCAAGAAGAGTGGGGGAGGTGGCAGGATTATCCCGCCTGACCACGGACGGCCAAGGCTGTGGTTCCCAGTGTTCCCTGCCTTCCTCTGCCTCCCTCCCTCCCCTGCCTGGCCAGTTGGGAAATGGACCTTCTTGGATGCAAGGTTGTTTTCCCTGGCCTGGCGCCCACTCAGGGCCGATGTGCACCCTGGACTGCAGCCTTGGGTGGAACATCGTGAGAGCAGGCTGCCGGTGGGGGCTGGGGGTGGAGTGGGACCAGAGGCCCAGCGTAGACGCAAGGGGTAGGCGCCACTGGGCCTCCGGCCTCTGAGGCGGGAGTATGGCCCCCTCCCACTGACAGACATAGGAGAACTTTTTTTTTTCCTCTGGACCTGAACACTCACTAAGAAAGTGCACAACTCAAATGATTTCTGATCCTGAAAAGAGCAGCTCTGACCAGCTACACTTGTAGATTGGGGCTTAATTCTGTGTGACCACATTCAATATAATAGTCTAATAAATTTGACCACACTCAATATGTGTATTAAAATTTCTGCTTCATTCCAAACCAGTGTTTTGTTTTGTTTTTTAAGCAGAAGAATGCTATTTTCAAACAATTATATGAAGAACTCTAATCTGTGGACCTGCTCTGACTGAAACAGGAGAAGGCCACGTAAGCCCCCTCAGAGGGAGCTCAGATGCTGGGAAACTTTTATTTTGGGAGCCATGTGTTGTCTCCCTTGTTCTCTGGTCATTTTCCAGAGGTGGATTTGAGCCTGCTGGTGACTCTGAGAGCTTACCAATGCAGTCAGTGGGTGGTTAAGTGAGGATACAAGCTGAGCTGCTGTAACAAAGAGCCCTCCCCCGCCCCCCAGTCACACACGCTGTTTCTTTCTTTCTCACTTATCAGTTCAGAGGTGGACTGGCTGATGCTCTGGGCTGGCAGGCAGCTCTGCTCCCCGCAAGGCCATACAGGGAACCAGATTCCTTCTACCTCAGAATCCTGCGTTTTTTAATCCACTGGGTTATAAAGTACTAGAACATTCCTAAACCCGCACCATGCCAAGGACTAGGAAGACATCCAGGATTAACTTCTCCCCACATGCTGTGAACAGAGCACAAGGTTGGGAGTCAGAGGTGTGGTCCCACCTTCACTGCTGACTGACTGCGCTCTCTGCCTCTCACTCAGCTTCTTCTGCAAGGGATCCTCCCTGCTCCGTCTACTTGGCCTTCTTGGCGGGACTGCTGTGCTGATCCAAGGGGATTCTGCATTGGAAGGTACCTGAGAACTGCCAGGTGATGTGCAAATGCCAGGAAAGGCATTTATCAGGTGGGCTGGAGCCTGAGCAGGTCAGTATGCCCTCATGGTCTTTCCTTTCCACATGGAGCCAGTGTTCTTCACTAGGTAACTCTGGCTAGGTCTCCTCAAGGTGGGAAGGCATCTGCTCTGGGACTACAGAGTACAGGGGTCCAAGGGGTGCTTGGGAGGGGCTTTGCCAAAAAGCACACTGAGGGTTCAGGGCTGACCGGACTCTCTGGGCTCCATTATAAGCCAGTCCCACTGGCTGGATCCTTGGTTTCTCCACCTTTAGAGTGGGCACAGCCATACTCTATATTTGAATCCACTATCAATTTATGATCACTTATTATGTACCTAGCTTTTTGTTCAGTGCTCATCTGCATTCTCATTTAATTCTATCTGTAAGCTCAGTACTCTGCATCACCTTTTCATAGATTAGAAAACCAAAGATCAAAGAGGTTGAGACACACCCTAAGACTACACGGACACAACTAGTAGATGGTGGGGACAGGATTTGTCTGCCTGACATATGTGTCTGTCTGCCATAGTGTCTGCCTGATACCATGCTGTGTTTTGGGAGTTCTATGAGGAGTTAAGGGCCTCCCATCTTGGGATCTCGGCTGCCTCCTCTGTAAAATGAGAGGCTGGACCAACATGGGGCAAAAAGTACCTATACGCATGACACCTGTGCACTTGTCCTGAGGCCAACAAGAGCCCAACTGTGTACACTGGATCAAACTGACTTTGAGAGGTTTGCTCCCCCATCATCCATTTTTGTAAGAAGAAATGCAACGATCCTTACCATGCGTGCTGCGTGCTAAATCGCTTCAGTTGTGTCCGACTTATTGCAATCCCAGCGCCTGCCAGGCTTCTCTGTCCATGGGATTCTCCAGGCAAACATACTGGAGTGGGTTGCCATGCCCTCCTCCAGGGGATCTTTCTGATCCAGGGACTGAACCCCAGTCTCTTGAGCAGGCAGGTTCTTTACCACTAGTGCTACCTGGGAAGATTGGACCATAGCCTGAGCATATTCTCCTTTCACCCAAAGTAAACAAGCAGAATCCCAATGGAAGACAGTCCACAGGGACCTGGAGTGGTGGTGGATCCCTGTAGGCCCTGAGGCATGGATGAGAATGGCTAATGGGACTAGGCTCTAGGACTTGAGATCCCTCTGATAGCAAAATAGAAAAGGAATTCAGCTGAAGCCTTAACTTAAAAAAAAGTTCTCTACAAATAACACAGAACAGTCTGTTTCACTCAACACATAAAGGACTTTTATAGAGCAATGTGAAAAATCACAATCCCACAATTGAAAAGGCCAAAACAATTCACAAGAATTAGAAATGACCAATATTCATTTGAAGAAAAATCCAACCTTGGCAGTAATCAAAGAAATGAAAATTAAAGCAATAAACCATTTTAAAGTATTCTTGCAAAAAAAAGGCTAATTGAAATTAATTAGACGATCCTTCTATATCTAATTCCCAGTTTATAGACAATACAGGGAAAGGAACATTTAAATGACATATAGAGGATGCAATCAGCTAAAATTTAAATGTGAAAAACTATAGGACTAGCAATGCAGTTTCTTTACCAAATAAACTTTAAGAAAAAAGAAAAGAACCTTATAAAGAAACCTAAAGCTTACTAAAAGAAACTTAATGGACATATCAACCAAAAACCTAATGTATCCACCTCATTTGAATCAAACAAACCAAATATAAAAACATGACACAATTAGGGACATGAACACTGACTAGATATTTGATGATATTAAGGAATTATCCATTTTTAGGGAGTGATAGTGGTATTTCAGGTATTAAAAGATTATTGATGCTTTAGTAATACATAAGGTAATACTTATAGATGAAAATATACAGTGCCTGGAGTTTCAGTTTAATCTGAGGGAGGGGAGAGAAGGTGGATTAGATGAATTAAGATCTGTCAAGAATCCATGGAAGTTCCTTACACTATTCTGTGTATATATCCAAAAGATTTGATAATCAACAGTTTAAAAAAAAAACAATGGTATAATTGAAGTCTGAAAGGTTATATACAAAAATGTTCGAACACAAAGTGAAATTAGATTAATACATTAATACTCTCTTCTTTTTTTCTTAATCTGAAGCAATGAAAATGATCAGGAAGAAAATGTTTAAAATGGCTTTGAGACAAAATGTATATACCAGTCATAGCTAAAGGGCCACAGAAGGTCAGCTGCTGTGGGCAGTGGCCAGCTTCTCCCTCTAGGGGAGCACAGACTCGGCTTTGTCCCCTCAGCTCCTGGAGGTGGGGTCTCTGGGAAGAGGGGACGGGGTGGGCCGGGAAAGGAGGGGTGGGGAGGATGGCACTGGGGGCCAGCCTCAGTGCTGGGTGGTGTCAGCCACTCCTCACTCAGCCTGTGAGGAAGGGCTTCTTGGTCCTCCTTTGCCAAGCTCAGTGGAGGAACTGGCTCAGAGAGGTCAGTGGAGCTGTCTGAGGGGGCGAGGGAACCTGTGTTGACAGGCGTTCTGCGCCGGGCACCTCCCTCTCCGCCAGCTCTCCGGGTGGCCACCGTCCTCCCCAACTTACAGAAGAGGAAACAGCGTCAGAGAGGTGACACGACTCCCCCAAGGTCACTCAGCCGGGGGCTGGCCAGGAGCAGGGCCGGCCTCAGCCCTTCCCCTGGGGCTCCTAGTTCCCTGTCAGGGGAGCTTCCATCCTGACACGGGGCACTTCCGCCCGCTCCAGGGGGATGGGGGAGCAGCCTGACATGGGGTAAGGGTGTGGCTGAGGGGTCAGGAGACCCGCGTGCCTGGACAGACTGAGCCTTCCCCTCACGTGCACAGCTGTGAGCATCAGCCATCTCTGGTCGAGGCTGGCAAGAGAGCTTGGGTAAATGTCAACTGTAAAGTGCCATATAAAGTGCAGAGTCTTGCGGTGGTGGAAGGAACATCTATGCGTACAGTACAGTTAGTCCTGCAGCCTTCCTGTCTGAGCCTCACCTGGGAGGGGACAGCTCTAAGGCTGCTGTCAGGGGAGGTGCAGGGGACAAGGCACTGCAAGGAACCCAGCCTGGAGCACCCAGAGGGCTTCTCCTTCCTGCAGCCTCCTCCCCACCCACCCAAGGCTGCTCAGGCCCTCTGCGAATGTCTCCGAAAGGCTGACAACTGGCCTCCTCTCCTCTACCGCAGGACCTCCTCAGACTACCAGGCAGGTAAAGCCAAGACCTCCAGGGGCCGCCTGCCTGGCCCCTACCAGCTGGGCCGGATCAGACGTGGGTCGTCTGCCTGTTGGGGCTCAGCATCCCAGGAAATTCCCCAGGAGAGGAGGCCTGGGTGCTTCGCAGGCCAGCGCCACCCAGCCGACCTGACCATTCACCTCCTGATCCTGGCCCCCTCCTCTCTTTCCTCCCCACCTGGGGCACTGGGTTTCTCCATCCCCTCTCCTTTTTTTTGTCTCTCAAATCTTACTCTTTTCTTCAATATCCTCTCTCCCTCTCTCCCCTTTCTCTTGCCATTTTAGTTCCTCTGTTTCTTTCCCACTAAACTCCTTTTTCTCTGTCCTCATTCATAGTTCACACCCATCTGTTTATCTCCTAAATCTTTCTGTCCCAGCCTCTCCCTTCCTCTCTTTATTCTTTCCTTTTTCTATGTCCCGGTGCCTTTATCTCTCAGCCTTTTTCTGTTTCGTCTTTCCTTTTTCTCTCCCCATCTGTCTCTCTCCCCTCCCCTGCATCTCCCTCTTTCTCCATCTCTCTCTCCATCTGGCTCCGTTCCCACCTCCCTCCCTCTCTTCTGCTCCTTCCTCGCGGTCCGCGGTCTCCCTAGCCCTCGCCCCGCTGCCCGGCCCCACTCACCGGCGAAGACACCCGGGGCGCGGAGCAGGGCGAGCCCGGCAAGCGCGCAGAGCAGGGGCCGCATGCTGCCGGCCGGCGGAGCGCAGCGCCACTTCTGCCCGCGGCCGACCTCCCCACCCTCCCCGGGATCGCGCCGGCCCGCCTGGGAGGAAATGCTCGCAGTTCCAGCCAAGATTCCTGGGCGGCTCCGGGCTTTCTGGCTCCAGCGAGCCCGCCCCCTCCAGAGACCCCGCGAGCGAGCGGAGGGGCGATGTGCCAGGCTGGGCGCCTCCCCAGGAAGGGGCCGCGCTCTGAGCCCCCCGCGCCTCCCCCGGGCCCGAGCACAGAACAGAGGATGATGGAACCGGGGGCCCAGTGATCCGTTATGAGCCCATTTCACAGACCGGCAGGCTGCAGTTTCCAGAAGTGCCACCCACGCCTCTGGCACAGGATCTGAATCCCTAACTTCACGGAGTAATCAGCTCTGATGACATCAGACAGTGTCGATCTGAGAGGGAGGCTCAGAAATGGTCTGCGTTCCACTGAAATTTTCTCCTTCTAAAGGAGTAACAGTATTGTTAAAAGATAACTTTCCAAAGGACTATAGTGGATTTGTTATTGACCCGGGTTCTTAAATAGAAATTGATGGGGGCTTCCCTGGTGGTCTGGTGGTTAAGAATCCACCTTGCGATGAAGGGAACTTGAGTTTGATCCCTGTTCAGGGAACTAAGATCCCACACGCTGGGGAGCAACTAAGCCTAGATGCCACTGCTGCTGAGCCGGAGCGCCACAAGTAGAGAGTCCCTTTGCTGCAGTGGAAGATCCCATATGATGGCAACCAAATAAACTTAAAAAAGAAATTGATACAAAGCCAGATCAGGCAAGGCTTTGGATCTCTTACCTAAGCACGCCAGATTACAGGTATGGGTGCCCTTGCTTGCTCCCTGGGGGAGGGGGTGAGCTGGTTCCTAAATGGCTCCAGGGTTGGGGTGGATCCTGCCTGGGCTGGAGGGGTATGTTTAGGTGGTCTGCCCACCCTCTTGGTGGTGCTGGGCGCACTAATGATGCATAGGACCCTGCTTTTGTTTCTGACCCCTCAGAAGTGGCAGTTGGGTTTTTGGTCTTTTTGTATCTTGTTGTTCCTAGTTTGTACAACCGCACAGTTATTTTTAGTCCCCTGTAGTTTCTTTGTATTTTCTTGCTGGAGAAAACAGTTTGTCCAGGATCAAGGACCGGAGCAAAGGGTCAGCCTGTCTCAGTCCCTGAGACAGTCCCAGCCTGTCTCAGATTTAGGTGTACTAACATAGAATGATCTCTAAAATTTAATGAGATGAACATGAAAATAAAAGCATGAAAGTAAAAATCCCCAAATATAGGCTTCCCTGATGGCTCAGCTGGTAAAGAACCAGTGTGCAATGTGGGAGACCTGGATTCGATCCCTGGGTTGGGAAGATCTCCTGGAGAAGGGAGCGTCTACCCACTGCAGTATTCTGGCCTGGAGAATCCTATGGACGGTATAGTCCATGGGATTGCAAAGAGTTGTACAGGACTGAGAGACTTTCACTTTCCATATGTTATTCAGTTCCATGTATACACATTTGTGTCTGAATTTATATTAGGAACCACATAGACAAGGAACTGGAAGAGTCTACCAAGCTGAGGGAACTGGACTGGAATCTAGCCAAGCTGGCCTCTTCTTGGATATGCCAGAGATTTTCCCTAAGCCCAAAGGAGGGGCGAGCCACTGAGAGCAGGGCTCCAAGGCACACAGTTACAGTGCAGTCTGTATTGGAATTGTGCTGCAGATGGCGCCATTTACATAAAATACTTCTGCAGTGGAGAGACCTGAAGTTGTCCTACTGGCAGCCCTGTACATTCTTGCACACTGGATATTTATCTTTTAATATTTTGACAGTTTGATGATGCAAAAAATTACCTTGTTATTTTTTATGAGTGAAGTTGACTTTTGTTTGCCTATTCAAATATTTTTTTTTCTATTTTCCCTCTTTCCTTTATGTATTCTGATTATTAATCTGATATATTAATATCAGCAAGGAGATCAAACCAGTCAATCCTAAAGGAAATCAACCCTGAATATTCAATGGAAGGACTGATGCTGAAGCTAAAGCTTCAGTACTTCGGCCACCTGATGTGAAGAGCCAACTCATTGGGAAAAACCCTGATGCTGGGAAAGATTGAGGACAAGAGGAGAAGGGGCGGCAGAGGATGGGATGTTTGGATGGCATCATTGACTCAGTGAAAACCATATATTTTCAGAGAAGATATATTTGATTAGATCAGAAAACTGCAGATCCCAGGTTGGAAGGCAGGTGGACCTGATTCTAAAATTCACACTCTGAAGCATTATCAGGCTCCAGGAGAGTAACTAGGTAGTGAGGAAATCTGGAGGGAGGTGGAGGTAGAAGAGGGCAAATTGGGTCTTTGGAGGCTCAGAGTGGCAAGTTCTTAAGTTAGGGAAAGACGACCCATAACTGCCTGCATAGTTAAAGTGCTGTAACGTGCGAAGTCATCTTTTCCTCTCATGCTTCCGCCCTGGCAGTTACCACCAAGATCCACAGTTGAACCCTCACTCGGAGTGTGACGCTCAGAGAAGTCAGGGGGTGGCCTAAGGTCACACAGAAATGTGGAGACTTGCTCCTAGGATACCCGTGCACCCATTGGCAATACTGCAGGATGTATGTGGCCTCCCAGGCTGGCCTGCTGTGGCGATAAAAGGGGGTAGGGGGCATCTGGCAGGGCTTTCTCCCCCAGCCCACACCCAAAGGCAAGGGGCCAAGGCAAATGGTAAGTGGGAGCTGGCCATCTCTCTGGAGGTGGAGGGGAGGAGAGGGACTGCCAAGCTCGAAGGGGCTCAGTGGCTGGGAGGGTCAGAGTCCACAAAAGCCTCCTTGTCTTCTTGTCTCTGGGCAGACAAGACTGGTTCCAGAAAGGTCTCAGCCCTGCGGGGGCCAGGCCACCCCTCCTCCACACAGATGGAGCAGGGTTGCTAGCCCATGGCCACACAAGTTACATGCGGAGAGAATGAACCAGTGGAGTGTGGGTATAGATGCCTCTGTAGGGGATAGAAGGTGCAGGGGACCTAACAAGGTGATTTAAGAAATCTTTTGTGTTTTATTTTTGTTTAAAACTCTATCCCCTTTCTGACAAACAGTCCCAAATCCTCCCAGATAGGGGAAGATGTAGGAAGGTAAGGAAATCTGCTGTGTACAGGCCTAACGTTAACCAGTATACCATCAGTAATTGTAGTCCTAGATGCCGACACTCACTGGTGCTGACATTCATTGATTCCGACTTTATGTCAAGTACCATTCCAAGCACTGTGTTCTTGTTTCTTCGTTCATCCCGGCTGGTACTGTAAGCGCGGCGTTCTGTGGTTATCCCAGAGGTTGGTAAGGGCAGCTTCCCACCTGGTGTTTTTTGAAGTGTGATGAATCCACATTTAAAAGTGGAGGAAACCAGCTTAAAGGTATCCCACCTGCTTAGTTAGAGATATCTTTTACGCAGATTCACATTGCTCAGCGTCAATTCAGTCCATTGTCAAAGTGATAGACATTTCCCAACAATGTGTTCATTTATGACTCCAGGGTCCTGTGGGCCTGGCAGGTAGGGAGCCGTCTGGCATTTCCCCCAGCTCTGTGAGAACCTTGTTATCAGTGTTCTCTGGGGGCAATGATCTCATTTTGCTCTTCAAGACTGGAGCTGGGATAAAATATAAACTAAGGACATCTGTGTACTGATGTGGGTTCTTGGACACTTTAATCAGCAGAAAGTGATAAAGAGGCCAGATGAGAAATGCAGGCAAAGCTTTGCTCGGACTAACACTTGTGCTGCAGCAGAAGGGAGTGAAAACAAGTAGCAGGTGTCCTTGCTTGCTCCCTGAGGGAGGGGGAGCTGGTCCTTTAAATGGGGTGAGGGGAGGGGCGGATCGTAGGTTGAATTAGAAGAGTGGCTTAGGTCGTGTGCCCACCCTCTCGGTGCTGCTGCAGGCAGGGCTCACGCACTGTATCCTGCTTTTGTTTCTGACACCTCCTAAAAGGCCATTGGGTTTATAGTCTTTTTGCATCTTGTTTTTGATTTGCCCCAATTGCAAGATGCAGTTATTTTCATAGTGTTATTTGTATTCCATTGTATTTATATTTATTTGTATTCCAGGAGACATTTGTCCAGGTGCAAACACTGCAGTAAAGGTCCAAGGTCAAATCAGTTGGCTGACTATTCAAAGCATTTTGGAGTTAGAATCCATCAGAAGAGGAGTTCAACCACTGACTCTGCCCTTATTGGTTGCGTAGCCTTAGGTAAGTCACCTAACGGCCTCACCAGCAAAGAGCGGGTAACAGTAAGGAATGAGAATTCCCTTGCCTGCTTCTGAGAAGCTTTTCTGGGCTGGTCACTGTTGTTTCCTCATCTTATTTATCTGCAGGTTGGGAGTTTGCTGAGGGTGGAAAAGATGTGAGCAATGCACAGGCTGGCAGAGGCCCTCAGATGAAGTTCAGGGTCTTCAGATGTTACCAAGCATGAGCTCAAACTGCTCGTAGCAGGGCAGGCCAGGCCAGTAAATCGAGAGTCGAGTTGTTGGGGCAAAGAATATTGACTGTATTCGGAAAGCTGCAGGCTGAGAAGATGGTGGACTAGTTTCCCAAAGAACCATCTTGCCCAGGTTTGGATTTTAGTTTCTTTTATGGAACAAAGAAGGGAAGGCCAGGGTGTCAAGTGAAAAAGGAACTAAGTTGTTGCAAATATTTCCTGACTCTGGCCAGACTCTGGAAGGGTTGTGTTAATTTCTTCTTTCCAGAAGGCATTCACAGATGGGCCTGGTCAGGATGTTTCCTGTGAGTTTAAACAAAAATATTTTAGCTTAGTGCTCAGGCATGTGAGGTAGGGTTCTCAGAGATGGGCTATTATATATACTTTAAGATGGTGGTCCCAAACCTTTTTGGCATTAGGGACCAGTTTCGTGGAAGACTGTTTTTCCACGGACATTAGTGGTGGGGGGTGGGGAGAGATGCTTGGGGCAGGCTGTATGGTGAGTGTTGGTTCAGACCGAAATGTGAGCAATGAAGGGGGTGATTCAGGCAGTAACTTGAGCCAGCAATGGGGATCAGTGGGGAGCAGCAGGCGCTTGGCTAATTCATGTGTCCCCTACCTCCTGCCATGCAGCCCGGTTCTTAACAGGGGTTGGGGACCTCTACTTAAAGGTATAGACAACATCCTTTTAGTGATTAACTTATAGAAAAAGCAATGGAATACAGAGGTAAAAGTAAAAGAAACAGATCCAATATGGAGTCAGATTTGCTCTTCCCTATTACACAGGGAGTCAGGAAAGTCAATTGTAGACCAAGCAAGGGCCAGCAGCTAACTCTGCTTCCTGAAGTAGGTGCAGAGTTAAGGCCTCATCAAGGAGGCCTTTGAACATGAGGAGGGTTCTTCTTTTCTCTTTCTTTTTAATTGGACAATTGCTATACAGTGCTGTGTTTCTGCTGTACCACAAAGTGAATCAGCTACATGTATACATATATCCCCTCTCTTCTGAACCTCCCTCCCCAACTCTGCCCGCCAAGTAGGGTTTTTCTAAGCAGTATGTACTGTGTGCCATGGAAATTGGTGGGGTGTAGATAGGTGACAGGAGAAGGGGAGCCATAAATCTGGGGAATGTTTAGCCAGCTTATTGAGGGCCTTGAATGACACTCTAGGAGAGTCACCCTTTATGGTGTAGGCAGAGGTGCTGGCAGGGATTTTGGCTTAAGGATGACTCAATCATGCTAACCCCCTTCTTTTTTAAAAAGTCTTTTTCTTTTGAAATAAGTGTAAACTTAAAAAAATTATACAGTGAGTTCTCAAATATTCGTCACCAGCTTCCCCAAATATTAACATCTTATAAACTACAGTAGAATTATCAAAGTGAGGAAGTTAACATTAACACAATACTATTAAATAAGCTGCTGGGGCAGTCAGAGCACAGGTTGGAAAAGAATTTCCAGACAGAGCGTTTCAGAAGGGAATGAGTTTATTAAGAACAAAGAGCTGAGATAATATGGGCACTGTGAGCACAGCGGGCTGACCTCTTGACACACTAGGGAGAATTGATAATTTTCGTGGGTTAATAGATAATGTTTATAGCCTCAGAGAAAATTCCAGCTGGAAAGTTGGCGTTAGGTGATTGGTTGGGGTGCTATAGAGTGTTTACTGGAGTGGACATCTTTGCCTGACTGGGAGTCAGGAAGCTTGTTAGTGATGATCAGGGACTTTTGGCAATGGTTACAAAGGGATGCAGCTTCGGAGATGACCTTGGTTCTGGACTCCACCTCTGTGGCCTTGGTGCAAGGCCTTGCATCTGTGGCCTTGGGGGTGGGATGCAGCATAAGCTACAGACTTTATTCAGATGTTGCTGGTTGTCTCACTAATGTTCTTTTTCTGGCACAGGATGCAGTCCAGGACCCCACATTGACTCAGTTGTCGTATCTCTTTAGGCTCCTTTAATCTAGAACAGCTCCTCAGTCTTTTTTTTTTAATCTCTCATAATTTTGACAGTTTTTAAGAGTTTTGGCTAGTTATTTTTGTCCTTCATAACCTTGACACTTCTGAAGAATATTGGCTAATTATTCTGTAGAATGTCCCTCAACTTGTGTTTTTCATGAAGACTTTGAGGTCACGCATTTTTGGTGAGAATCTCATACGAGTGATGCTGTGTTGGGCTTCCTTGTGCCTCAGCTGGTAAAGGATCTGCCTGCAATGCAGGAGACTCTGGTTCAATTCCTGGGTTAGGAATATCTGCTGGAGAAGGGATATGCTACCCACCCCAGCGTTGGGCTTCCCTTGTGGCTCAACTGGTAAAGAATCTGTCTGCAGTGTGGGAGACCTGGGTTGATCCCTGGGTTGGGAAGATCCCCTGGAGAAGGGAAGGCTACCCACTCCAGTATTCTGGCCTGGGGAATCCCATGGAATGTGTAGTCCATGGGGTCACAAAGAGTGGGACACGACTGAGTGATTTTCACTTTGTAGTAAGGCACATCGGAAGTCATGCAGGATATTGCTCTGTCTCATTGCTGGTGGTGTTAACCTTGAAAGACGATGTGGTAAAGGTGAGGTCTGTCAGGCTTCTCCATCGCAGAATTGCTGCCTTCCCTTTTCTAGTACATGAGTATCTTGTGGGGAGGTCACTATTATACCTGCTCTTAACCTGGTGGAGGGAGGATTTCTCCCAGTGCCCCTGGGCTGAGGATTATCTTTTCAGGCTCGGATGGGCCTAAAACTGACCTGTCTCCTCAAATTTGGTTCTTCTGATGGCTTTCCCTTTCCATGATATAAGCCTTATAGACGGTTGGTGGGAATGTAAATTTGTACAGCTTTCGTGGAGGTGCATTTGCCAGTTTCCACAACAATTCTAAATGTGTATACTCTAACTTTACAATTTCACTTAGATAATGAAACACAAGTATACAGAAGGCATATGGTGTACTAAGGAGAAATTAAAGTGAACAAATTTCCCTTTTCTCCATTTTTGATGATAGCCTTTCTGACACGTGGGCTTCCCTGATAGCTCACTTGGAAAGAATCTGCCTGCAATGCAGGAGACCCCAGTTTGATTCCTGGGTCAGGAAGAGCCCCTGGAGAAGGGGTAGGCTACCCACTCCAGTATTCTTGGGCTTTCCTGTGACTCACCTGGTAAAGAATCTGCCTGCAATTTGGGAGACTTGGGTTCAATCCCTGGGTTGGGAAGATCTAGAGAAGGGAAAGGCTACCCATTCCAGTATTCTGGCCTGGAGAATTCCATGGACTATACAGTCCATGGGGGTGGCAAAGAGTTGGACACGACTAAGTGACTTTCACTCATTCTGACACGTGCAAGATGGTATCTCAGTATGGTTTGATTTGCATTTCTCTTGGACTTCCCTGGTGATCCAGTGGTTAAGACTCCACACTTCCGTTGTAGGGGGCACAGTTTTGATCCTTGGTCACAGAAGTTAGGCATGGTACATGCATGTGCACTAAGTTGCTTCAGTCGTGTCCAACTGAAGTGTGTTCACTATTTGCAATCTTATGGACTGTAGCACACCAGGCTCCTCTGTCCATGGGATTCTCCAGTAAGAATATTGGAGTGGGTTGCTGTGCCCTCCTTCAGGGGATCTTCCTGATGCAGGGATCTAATCTATATCTCCTGTGGTTCCTGCATTGCAGGTGGATTCTTTACCACATGGTGTGGCATCCCCCACCCCAAATCTGATTTGCATTTCCCTGATGATTAGTAATGTTAAACATCTTTCCATGTGTCTATTGACTGTCTGTATGTCTTCTCTGGAAAAATGTCTGTCTAGATATGCCCATTTTAAAATCAGTTTGTTTTTTGTTTGTTTTTACTGTTGAGTTGTATGAGTTCTTTATATATTTTGGATATTAGCATCTTATCAAGGACCTTCTTGGTGGCGCAGTGGATAGGAATCTGCCTGCCAGTTCAGGAGACACATGTTCAATCCCTGGTCTGGGAAGATTCCACATGCGGTGGAACAACTAAGCCCATGAACCACAGTTGCCTAGCTTGTGCTCTAGAACCTGTGAGTCACAACTACTGAAGCCTGCATGCCTTAGAATCTGAGAGCTGCAACTACTGAAGCCCATGCGTCTATAGCCTGTGCTCTGCAACAAGAGAAACCACCACAATGAGAAACCTGAGTACCACAACAAAGAATAGCCCCCACTTGCCAAACTAGAGAAAGTCTGCCTAAAGCAGTGAAGACCCAGTGCAGCCAAAAATAAATAAATAATAATTTTTTAAAAAGGCATTGTATACACACACACAAGTAAAAAAATACATATATATCAGATATATCATTTGCAAATATCTACTCCCAGTTGGTATGGGCTTCCCTGGTGGCTCAGACAGTAAAGAATCAACTTTCAATTCAGGAGACCTGGGTTCAATCCCTGGGTTGGGAAGATCCCCTGGAGGAGGTCATGGCAACCCACTCCAGTATTCTTGCCTGGAGAATCCCCATGGCCGGAGGAGCCTGGCAGGCTACAGTCCATGGGGTCACAAAGAGTTGGACACGACTGAGCGACTAAGCACTGCACAGTTGGTAGGTGGCCTTTTCATTTTGTTGATAGTCTCCTTCACTGTGCAAAAGCTTTTTAGTTTGATATAGTCCCATTTGTTCATTTTTATTTATTTTGCCTGAGACATATTGAAAAAGGATATTACCAATATGGATGTCAAAAAGATTATTGCCTGTTTTCTTCTAGAAGTGTTATAGTTTCAGGTCTTACATTTAATTCTTTAATCCATTTGAATTCATTTTTGAGCATGGTTTGAGAGAGTAGTCCAGTTTGATTCTTCTGCATGTAGCTGTTTGGTTTTCCTAACATCATGTTAATGAGGTTTTCTTCCCTCATTGTATATTCTTGCCTCCTTCAGCATAGATTGTTTGGATTCATTTCTAGGCTCTATTAAGTTCCCTTGATCTGTGTGTTTGTTTTTGTTCCACCCCACACTGTTTTGATTACTATAGCTTTGTAGTATAATTTGAAATCATGGAGCATATTACCTTCAGCTTTGTTCTTCTTTCTCAAGGTTATTTTGGCTATTCAGGGCCTTTTGTGTTTCTGTACAAATTTTAGATTTGTTCTAGTTCTGTGAAAAATGTTCTTGGCATTTTGATAAGGATTGCATTGAATTTTTAGCCACTATGGAAAACAGTATAGAGATTCCTCAAAATATTAAAAATTATAATTACCATATGATCCAGTAATTCCACTCCTGGGTAGTTATCCAAAGAAAACAAAAACATATGTATCCCTGCATTCATTACAGCATTATTTACAATGGCCAAGATATGAAAGCAATCTAATTCTAAGTGAAAGTTGCTCAGTCATGTCCGACTCTTTGTGACCCCATGGACTATACAGTCCATGGAATTCTCCAGGCCAGAATACTGGAGTGGGTAGCTGTTCCCTTCTCCAGGGGATCTTCCCAACTCAGGGATTTAACCCAAGTCTCCTACATTGCAGGTGATTCTTTACCAGCTAAGCCACAAGGGGAGCCCAGAAAGCAACCTAAGTGTCGACTAATAGATGATGATGTGTGTATATATATATATATGCACACAAAATGGAATATTAGTCATAGAAAGAATGAAATTTTGTCATTGTGACAACATGATCTACCTGGATGGTATTATGCTTAGTGAAAGAAGTTAGAGAAAGACATATACTGTATAATTTCACATATATGTGGAATCTAAAAACAAATGAACAAACATAGCAAAATAGAAGCAGAATTATAGATACAGAGAGCAAAAAGATGGTTACCAGAGGGGATGGAAGTTGGGAGAAGAAAAAAATAGGTGAGAGAGATTAAGTACAAGCTTCCAGTTGGAAAATAAATGAGTGACAGATATGAAATGTATAGAGTAGGGAATTAGAGTCAATTATGTCATATCTTTGCATGGTGACAGATGACAACTAGTCTTATCATGGTGATCATTTTGAAATGTATAGACACATCAAATCACTAAGTTGAGTAACAGGAACTAAGACAGTGTTGTAGTCAATGATATTTTGAAAAATCCAATCACACAAATTCATAAAAAAAGAGATCAGATGTGTGGGTGGTCAGAGGGGGAACTGGATGAAGGCCGTCAAAATGCACAAACTCTCAATTATAAGCTAAATAAGTACTAAGGTTGTAATGTACAAAATGATAAATATAGTTAACACATTAACACTGCTGTATGTTATATATTGTATGAAAGTTGTTCAAAGAGTAAATTCTATGAGTTCTCATTAAGGAAGAATTTTTCTCTATTAATTTTGAATCTATGAGATGATAGATGTCCGCTAAACTTATTGCAATAATCATTTCATGATGTATATATAAGTCAAATCATTATGCTGTGCACCTTAAACTTACACAGTGCTGTATGTAAATAAAACTGTAAGTAAATGAATTAAATGAGTGGATACTATCTATGTATGCCAGCATGGAATTACCTGCAAGATTTACTGTTGAATAAAGAAAGCAATTTGCAGAAAAATGTGCAGAATACGATCTCATCATGATCAACTCTTAGTAAAATGCACTTTTCATATCCAGAGGCATAATCCACAGTGAGGAACAGGCTTTGGAGTCCACTGTGACCTTGGGTAGGTTTCTTATGTGTTCTCAGTCCCATTCATAAAATGAGGGCAGTGAAGGTGGAATTAGTGGGTCCTGGGCTGTTCCAGCCTGCTCTCTGGCACTCATTCCCTGTGCCTTTTCAGTCTCAGCTGCAGTTAGGATTGTCCTCAGCATCATTTCCTCAGTCAGCATCGTGGCCACCTCTGCCAGGTCCTTCACACTCAGGATCTGTGTCCTATGCTGGGGCCCAGAAGTAAATCTGTGAATCTGTATGCATGTATATTATACACTATGTTATACATGTCACTCTCTATATAACTGATATCTAGAAAAAATGCACAGTCGGCTGCTAAAGGTGCAATCACTGTTATACACAGGAATTAGGAAGAGAGTGAGGGTACTAATTAACTGGGAACTTTGTGTTAGACATTTCTCATTGTTGAATGATTTGATGTGTCACAGCAAGCATGGGATATCTTTGTAATGGCAGTAACAACTCCTGTTGCAGCACCACTCCTTCTTTTCCAGGAAAGAAAACTGAGGCCCAGAGAAGGGGCCTTGCCCAAGTCCAGCTGGGAGGTTAGCAGCCAGATGAGAAGTAGATGAGAAAGCAAGGCTGGGAGGGACCAGAGGTGAGTATACGACACCCAGTTGGGGAGACCATGTAGAAAATGTACTGTTAAGGGAGAAAAGGGGCTTGGCCCTGTCTCCCAAACTCTGAGAGCTCCGTGGTCCTTGAGAAAGGAGAGGGCAGAGTTCTGGGCCCCAGCATAGGTCACAGATCCTGAATGTGAAGGACCTGGCAGAGGTGGCCACGATGCTGACTGAGGAAATGATGCTGAGGACAATCTTAACTGCAGCTGAGGCTGAAGAGGCACAGGGAGTGCATGCCAGAGAGCAGGATGGAACAGCCCAGGACCCACTAATTCCACCTTCACTGCCCTCCTTTTATGAATGGGACTGAGAACAGATAAGAAACCTACCCAAGGTCACAGTGGACTCCAAAGCCTGTCCCTCACTGTGGATTATGCCTCTGGATATGAAAAGTGCATTTTACTAAGAGTTGATCCCCAAACTAGCATGTGACACTTACCTACACTTACCTAGGCCTTGAAAAACCTTTAAAAAAAATCATAGTTAAATTAATTTTTGCAACCAAAATTTGAACATCACTGAACTTGACCAAGAAGGAACAAAACCAGAACAGAAATGAAACAAGAGGAAGGAAGAGAAAAAAGAAGGTATATGCAAGTGTTGACATTTTATCTCTGGAATAATTCTGCTTTAGCTCTGTTCCCTAGGACCAAAGAATAGATGAGTGTAGAATTCTAAACTGTTCCAACCAGTCTGCAAATTTTATTCCTTTGTAAATCTAAAATATATTGAAATTTTTGTGTGTTGTGCTGAAGCTTAAATGGGGGACTGAAGTTTCATGTTTCTGACTGAGGTATAAATTTAGTTTGAAAACAGATGTTCCAATGATTGCTTTCTGCTCAGGGTGACTACTTGAGCCTGAATTTTCAGTTTGCCCTGATAAAGAAGAGAGGCTCCTGGAGAGAAATCTGCTGAGCTGATGGCCTGGACAAAGATTAGTAGATGGGCATATGTACTTTTGGGTCAATGTTAGTGAAGAAATTTGCTTGATGGGGCAGAAATACCGATTCAGGATCAATAAGAGGTAAATTCCGTTGTGTGGGGCAAGGTTAGATTTCAATTTTTAGGAGAGGCAGAGAATTTAAATAATTGCTACTCTTGTAGATCTCTAATTTGTTGTGGTTCATCAGAAAAAAATGTGTATATGTTGGATCTGAAAACCAAGGGACATATGTGAGCTATCATAGTCATAGGAATTAACTCGCCAATTAAGGAATGTTGCTTGTCACCCGTTTCTACAAGACTCAAGTCACTAAATGCCACTTCAGTTATCGACATATAGCACGTATATACGTATACTGACATAAAATTCTTTCTCTGGAAAGAATTCAGGGTGAAGCTCAAGAATGAGGCACTCTGTGCTCTGGGAAAACTGACAGAACAGGCCCTCAGATAGTTAGATATTTTCAGGAGAAATTTTTATGAACCCAAATTCTTGTATCAGCCCATGCTTAGAAAAGCACTAAAATCATTAGCTGAGATATCTGATCCTTGTGACTGATAGCAACCTTCTGCAGAGATGTGTGCCTGATTGCACATACTCCTCCAAAATCACATACGTTTTCAGAGCAGTTCTTCAAAGCAGTCTGAGGGGCTGTCTCCTGGGCTATAGTTCTAACTAAGATGCTGAATAATCTCAATTCACAGCTCTTATGTTATACATGTATTAGTTAAGCTGAAAAACAAAACAAAACAATGTTGAGAACTGGCCTGGAAGTTAGGCCTCAAGGCAGCTGTTTCCCAGCTCTGCTGCTCTTTGCTGTGTGTGCTTGGGTAGTTAGCTCACCCTCTCTAGGTGCTAGGGTCCTCTTCTGCCAAATGAAGTGGTGGGTGGAAGGAACTCCAGTGATGGCAGCTCCTTCCTGCTCACATCACAAGACTTAGGAAAGCAACCTTGTTGGCATACTGGCTGTCTGCATTCCACACTCAGTTGTTCACTTTGGAGGAAGATGTAGTTGGAGGCAGTCACATCACCTTGTACCCAGAGCCCAGGCCAGAGGAAGGCATGCCCATCCTGGCTGCATCAAGGGCTGTACGCAGAACTGGTGATGGTTAAGAGCTGGGTGAGTCAGAGAATCATGGTTTCTAGGCTCAATTCTGCCTCTTTCTAGATGAGAGATCTCTGGTAACTTGCTGTCTCTGACCTGAGTGTCAAATGAGGATGTTAATAGCAACTGTGTCCTTTTGGGAGTTTTTGAGAGAATCAGATGAGATGTGTATAAATGACTAGAAATAGTGCTGGGCACATATTGTACATTCAATCAATGTTAACTATTATTTGATCTTTAAAATAATTTTTTGAAACTTATTTATGTATATTTGGCCATGTCAAGTCTCAGCTGTGGCACTTAGACTCTCTAGTTGTGATATGTAGTTTCAGCAGTTGCAGCCCTCGGGCTGTCTGGTTGTGTTGCTTGCACTCCAGAATGCATGGGCTCAGTAGTTGTCGCATGCGGGCTTAGTTGCTCTGCCTCATGTGGGATCTTAGTTCCCTAACCAGGGATCTAACCTATGTCCCCTGCATTGCAAGGCAGATTCTTAACCATTGGACCATCAAGGAAGTCCCTATTTCTGTTGTTTTTACTACTCAAAATCAAATCTTAACTTCTTAACTAATATAGAAATTCTTGGCATGGCATACTGGACAAGTGGCTATCCTCATTCTTCTTGAATACTTCCAGTGACAGGAAACTCACTATTCCCAGTTAATTGTTTCACTAACCAATAGTGCTTCTGGAATTTCATGGAATTTTAAAGCTGAAATCTTAACATAAATCTCAAGTTCAACTGCCTCATGAAGAAACCCAAGTTCAAGAGGTAAAAGGTTTGCTCAAGGCTACGTGGCTAGTTAGGTGGCAGCGGCTCCTTTCTTCCAGTCTTATTTACTCCATCCATTTTCCTTAGTGCCTTTGAGCTCTTTGGTACTGTATCCACCCGTGCCCCCCACTCTCCCCAGAGAACAGTTCCTGGAGGCCCCAGGCTGTCTGTTGAATCTTTTTGGATCCCAGATAATGATTAACTAACTCATCCTGGACCCAGGGAAAAAAACCTCTATTTTAGAACTTTTAAATGAAGAAGGCTGAGTTCTCCTTGCTACATTTTAGGAGGCAATCCCCTCCCTCCACCCAAGAGTCACAGGGATGATTCAGCTTTGCCCCATTCCTAGACACAGTCCTTTCTGCTGCCCAGCCCTCACTAGTTCCCCTGGCCTCTTAACCGCCACCCTGATACTGTTTAAAAAATGCCTGGTTTCACAGGCCCTGAAGGCCAATGTCCATTTCCCTACCTGCTCCACCTGTTCTGCCAGTGTCTTCACACCAGAAGTGGTACTCCTGGGGATAGTTACAGTTGACAAGGATTTGGATCTATTTTTGCCAGAGTGATTATAGAAAAATAGCACGTGTACCCTCTCAGGCGAGGGGTCGGGCCACCCCCAGAAGCCCTCAGTGCCACTGACTTGACCTTAGATGTTGCTTCCTAGCCACATCAACCCTCCCACTCAGCTCCCTGGCTCTGACTCCTGAGCTGGCCTTCCCACTCCACCTCTTAATTAACTCCTTACGACGAGAAATCAGAAAGCATCATTGCAGTCTTTACAAGGCCCAAGCTTCAGCGGTTTCAGAGGAGGCCTCTCTAACCAGTTCCTGGTTAGACTCATGTTCAGATGGAAAACATATTTTCCTTCTAGATGCCAATTCAAAGGGATGTTTTGAAGCAGCAGAGAGTGATATGGCGATTCTAACACATCTGGTGGTTAGCCAGCAAGACCAGATTTCATGTAAAACTTGCCTCTGAGGCAGGGGTGACGTCCCCCTTTTCTCCCGGGAGCACTTGTACGTCTGAAGACAGCAGAGATTGATTCCCTAAAAAGTTCTTTGAGGCTCTAATCCTTTTTATTTATTTTTGGCCGTGCTGGGTCTTCATTGCTGCGTGTGGACTTTTTCTCTAGTTGTGGAGAGCGAGGGCTTTTTAGTTGTGGTGCATAGCCTTCTCACTGCAGTTGCAGGGGCTTCTCTTGTTGTGGAGAATGGGCTCTTGGGCACATGGGCTCAGTAGTTGCGGCTCTTGGGCTCAAAAGTGTAGGCTCAGTAGTTGTGGCACACGGCCTTAGTTGCCCCATGGCATGTAGGGATCTTGCTGGATCAGGGATTGAACCTGTGTCTCCTGTATTGCAAGGCAGATTCTTAAACACTGGACTACGAGGGAAGCCAGAGACTCTACTCCTGTTAATAGCTTTGTATATAAAAACAAAACTATTAAAAGGATTTAATGGTAGACTAGCTTCCGTGGTAGCTCAGAGGGTAAGGAATCTGCCTGCAATGCAGGAGACCTGGGTTCGATCCCTGGGTTGGGAAGATCCCCTGGAGAAGGGAGTGGCTACCCACTCCAGTATTTTTGCCTGGAAAATCCAATGGACAGAGGAGCCTGGTGAGCTACAGTCCACAGGGTCGCAAAGAGTTGGACACAGCTGAGTGACTAGCATACACACATGTGGTAGATTGTTTCCTTCAATGTTTTTCATTTGGGATGTGATCTAACCTGTAATATAGCTTTATCTGTAGTAGTAGTAGCTTTGCCAGGGAGAAGGCAATGGCACCCCACTCCAGTGCTCTTGCCTGGAAAATCCCATGGATGGAGGAGCCTGGTGGACTGCAGTCCATGGGGTCGCTAAGAGTCGGACACGACTGAGGGTCTTCACGTTCACTTTTCACTTTCTTGCATTGGAGAAGACAAGTAATTTCTACACAAGGATTTAGATGATGGAGTCCATTTTAAATATGTATTTCACAGAGCAATGTATTTGACTATGAATACACTATGTTGCACCTGTAATTTACCAATAGGCTACAAACACACATGTAACAAACATAGGTTTTGGAGTCACAGGGATCTTGGTTTGATTCCTGGTTCTGCCACTCACTAGCTCTGATTGTTAACAAGCTACTTAATTTCATTAGGCCTCAGTTTTATAACTAGAAATATGGGATGGCAGGACAAACCTCTTAAGGGTTAAAGTGAGGATTAAGTCAAAGAATGCAAACAAGGCTCTAAGCATAATGCCTGGCCACCCAGTGACTGTTCAATGAATGTTTTTCTTCTTGTTATTAACATAGAAGTCATTCTGTGGGATTCCTGCAAATTCAAAGGATATAATGGGATTACATAAGGAATGCCTGTCTCTGGCCTACAGTGTGTGTGTGTATGTGTTTAATACATACACTATGGTAAGTTTTACTGATATTAATCATGTATATTTACAAAATACATTTACAGATAGTATAAAATACACAGTTTTCTTTCCTACAAATCCGATATAGTTGATTTTCCTCTCAGGATGCTCTTGAATCCATAGTCAAATCATGGGTGCATTTCAACCATGATTTGGCATATGAAGTTGCATCTCAGTCTGCTTTTTTCCCAATAAATGGATTGTCTTACATACGATAAGATCTACTGGTAAATTCACTCTTGTACAAACTATGTTCATTGAACTACATCCTCTTTCACCTTGAGCTCTAGTCATTCAAACTTTGAAGTTTAATCTGCATTATTAATATTTTCTCCTTGACTTTCTTAAATCTAGATAAGCAGCAAAACAATAAATCAACCAATATAGCATTCACCAATTTCCTTGGTGTACATATTCCCGTTGTGGATGATTTTAAGCTACCAACATGACATTACCAACCACCAAGCAGAGAAGAGACACAGCACACTATTACATGGTATTTCCACTGTATAGATATGATGAAATGAAATCCATATTTTATGGCAAGACAAGAAACCCAAACATAAAAATTTTCGTTACCTGTTGGGGTCTCCTCCTTCCTCCTTAGTTTGTGTTGTATGATGCATTAACCAGAACTCCTGAGGAGACAGCATTCTTCCTTTTTTTTAAAACTTTTTTCCTTCTTTATTTTTTAAATTATGAAAGTATGGTAACACATTTACAGGAGACTTTGAAAATACAAAACAAGTTACATATAATTCCACTACTTATTACAGTTATTTTTTAGTAGATAAATTAAGATTTTTAGTTGGAGTTTCAAAATCAAACTTCCATAAATTAATAGAATGAATAGACAGAAAAGTAGAAGGATGTAGTAGGCCTGAAAAGCATTATGAACCAATTCAACATAATTAAGATTTATATAATTTTCACACAATAGGAGGATACAAATTCTATTCAAGTTCCCATAGGCTATAAACCAGGAGACACTGCAACATATCCAGGAACATAAAACAAGGTGCAAAAATTTCATAGTCTAAAGGTATTGAAATCATACAGAGGCTGTTTCTTGTCACTGTGGAATTATGTTAAAAATCAATATCAAAAGATATTTGAAAATAGCCCACATATTTTCAAGTGCAGTGTCATAGTTACCAAGAGAGATCTTTGACTTAGCCACTGAAAGCCTCAATAAAGTTAAAAGACTGCAGAGACACAAAGGGTGATTACAGAGAAGAAAGCATTTAAGTGAGAAATTAATATTAAAGATACTTTAAAAGCCCCATGTATTGGAAATTAAGTGTCCACTTTAAATGATGGTGTATCTAAGAAGCCATGACAAGGAAAATTAGAAAATATTTGTAACAGATTAAAAATGAAAAGACAATTTATCAGAACTTGTTGCATGCAGTTGAAGCTTCTCAATGCAACTAAATACAATGTGGAATCTCGAATAAAGTATAAAAACAAATAATGGACACTAGCATAAAATTTCGTGAAATTTGAACAAAATCTGTACTTTAGTTAATAATATCTACAGTGTGTTTTGCAACAGGCATTACAGGATGCCAGGACAATACTAAATGTATTTCAAAATGGAAATTTCGTAATATATTTATTTTCTGTTTCCTAGGAAATGTTCTGTAATATTCAGAACATAAGCCCAGCCAATTCCTAAGCTGTACAGATGTTAAAGCTTCATAAATGCTATAAATACCCCCTTTCAATGTACATGTGCAACATATTATTGCTGTACCTTTAACCAATGGCAAGAACATCCCCTAGGTCTGCAGATGTTTACAGTATTTGTACATTGCTATGGATACAATATCAAAGGCAGGCGCCAGTAACATGAACAGGATGTAGGGGTTTAGGGCCTCTAACAACAGTGATGGAAAATATTCTCACTCTTAATGCATCTTTCTTGGATAATATTTGTAAAATATTTGGGAGGTGAGCCATGCTGTAGAGAGCATTACTTTGGTGGTTCATCCAACACTGC